ACAGCTAATGGGTAGCTCATATAGGGTCTTCTAGGTGATATTTTGAGGTCTCATGGTTAGCTCGGCATTCCTATCTCGCATATTTGATGTGTCATTAAGAATTCGATAAGCAATATAAATTCATGCGCAAAATCTCGCCTACTTCGGAAGCATTTGGCAGTTTATGCCCAATATCTCTCTCTTTGTTGCTTGGCACGACATTTTGAGACCATAATATTTCATCTAAGACCTGTAGGAATCATTGAAATCATTTTTAGGTCATTCCATGCCACAGCTTCCAAGCCAAAAAATCCAAAGATATACCCCTTTGATTTAAGAAGCTCTGTATAAAGGCCTATTCTGGAGCCGATATCGTCTGTGCGCCTGACGGGCAGCTTGTATAAGATCTTCTAAATGATAGTTTAGGCTCTTGTGGTCTAGTTTGCATGCCTATCTTGCCTGCTCGATACGTCATTAAGAATTGCATACCCCATATAAATTCATACGCAAAATCGGTGCCACTCTGGAAGCATTCGGCAATTTTGGCCCAAAACCTATCTGTTTATTGCTTAGTATGCTATTATGAGACTATAATATTTTGTCTAAGACCTGTAGGAGGCATTAAAATCATTTTTTGGTCATTCCGTGCCCGAGCTTCCTGGCTCAAAAATCCAAAGGTATACCCCTTTGGTCGTAGAGGCCCTGTATGAAGGCCTGTTCTGCAGCTGATATCGTCGGTACGTCTAATGGACAACTCGTATAGGGTCTTCTAGGTAATAATTTAGGGTCTCTTATTCAGCCTGGCATGCCTACTCGCCTGCTTGATGCATCATTAAGAATTGCATTGCCATATAAATTCATGTGCAAGATCTGTGCCGCTCTGGAAGCATTTGGCAGTTTTGCCCCAATATCTCTCTATTTGTTCTTGGCACACTTTTTTGAGACCATAATATTTCATCTAAGACCTATAGCCAGCAATTAAATCAATTTCAGGTCATTCTGTGCTAAAGCTTTCGGGCCAAAAAATCCAAAGGTATACCCCTTAGGTCTAAGAAGCCTTGTATGAAGGCTTGTTTAAAAGCTGATATCGTCCGTACGCCTAATGGGCAGCTCGTATAGGGTCTTCTAGGTGATTTTTGGGGGTCTCATGGTCAGCCTAGCATGCCTATCTCGAATGCTCTATGCGTCATTAAGAATTGCATACGACATATAAATTCGTGCACAAAATCGGTGCCACTCCGGAAACATTCGATAGTTTTGCCATATATCCTTTGTGTCTGTTGCTTGGCATGCCATTTCAAGACAATAATATTTCATTTAAGACCTATAGAAAACATTATAATCATTTTCGAGTCATTCCGTGCTGGAGCTTCTGGGCCCTAAAATCCAAAGGTAAACCACTTTTGTCTAAAAAGCCCTATGTGAAGGTCCGTTCCGGAGTCGATATTTTCTGTACACCTGATGAACAACTCATACAGAGTCTTATGGGCAATATTTTAGGTCTCATGGTCAGCCTATCATGCCTATCTCACATGTTTGATGCGTCATGAAGAATATCATATATATTCATGCGCAAAATCGGTGCCACTCTAGAAGCATTCAGAAATTTCGGCCCAATACCTATCTATCTATTGCTTGGCACACTATTTTGAGACTGTAATATTTCATCTAAGACCTGTAGGAAGCATTGAAATCATTTTTGGGGCATTCCGTGTTGAAGCTTCCAGGCCCAAAAAGCCAATGGTATACCCCTTATGTCTAAGAAGCCTAGTATGAAGGCCTATTTCGAAGTCGATATCTTTTGTACGTCTAACGAGAAGCTTGTATAGGGTCTTTTATGAAATAGTTTGGTGTCTCATGGTAGCCTAGCATGCCATGCTCGATATGTCATTAAAAATTGCATATGCAATAAATTTCAAATGCAATAAAATTCAAACGCAAAATCAGTGCCACTCCGGAAGTATTCAGTAGTTTTGGTCCAATATCTTTCTATCTATTACTTGACATGCAATTTTGAGACCATAATATTTCATCTACGACCTGTAGGAAGCATTAAAATAACTTTTGGGGCATTCTGTGCCGGAGCTTTCGGCCCCAAAATCCAAGGTATACCCCTTTGGTCTAAGAAGTCCTATATGCAAGCCTCTTCCATAGCCGATATCTTTTGTACGGCTAGTGGGTAGCTTGTACAGGGTCTTCTAAGCAATAGTTTAGGGTCTTATGGTCAACTAGGCATGCATATCTCGCCTGCTCAATGCATCATTAAGAATTGCATATGCCATATAAATTCATGCGTGAAATTTGTGCCATTACGTAAGCATTCAACAGTTTTGGCCCAATATCTCTTTGTCTGTTGCTTGGCACTCCATTTTGAGACCATAATATTTTATTTAAGACCTATAGAACGCATTGAAATCATTTTTGGGCCAATTTCATGTCGGAGCTTTTGGGCCTAAAAATCCAAAGGTATACCCCTTTGGTCGAAGTCCTGTATGAAGGCTTGTTCTAGAGTCGATATCATCTGTACGCCTTACGGGCAACTCGTATATAGTCTACTAGGCGATAGTTTGGGCTCTTATACTTAGCGTGGCATGCCTATCTCGCATGCTTGATGCGTCATTCAGAATTGCATAAACAAAATAAAATTCATGTGCAAAACTGGTGCCACTCTAGAAGCATTCGACAGTTTTGGCCCAATATCTTTGTGTCTGTTGCTTGGCATGCCATTTCGAGACCATAATATGAATGCGTATGTATTTATATTGCATATGCAATTCTTAATGACACATCGAGCAAGCGAGATAGGCATGTCACACTGACAACGAGAGCCCAAACTATCGCCTAGAAGACCCTATACGAGCTAGCTGTCTGGCGTACAGATTATATTGACTCCTAAACAGGCCTTCATATAGGGCATCTTAGACCAAAGGGATATACCTTCGGATTTTAGGCCCGAAAGCTCTGACACGAAATGGCCCGAATGCTTTAGGAGTGGTACTAATTTTGCGCATGAATTTACATTGTGTATGCAATTCTTAATAACGCATCGAGTAGGCAAGATTAGCATGTCGGGCTGACTAAGAGACCCCAAATTATCACTTAGAAGACCTAATATGAGCTACCTGTTAGAAAAACAGAAGGTATCAACTCTAGGATAGTCCTTCATACAGGGTTTCTTAGACCAAAGGGGGTATACCTTTGAATTTTTCGGCCCAGAATCACCGACATAGAATGGGCTGAGCTTGACTTTAATGATTTGTATAGGTCCATAGATGAAATATTGTGCTCTCAAAATGATGTATGAAGTAATAAACGAAGAGATATTAGGCCAAAACCGTCAAATGCTTCCGGAGTTACACAGATTTTGCGCATCAATTTATAGTGTATGCAATTCTTAATGATGCATTGAGCAGTTGAGATTGGCATGTCGGACTAACCATGAGACCCCAAACTATCACCTAGAAAACCTTATACATGCTGCCTATCAGACGTACAGAAGATATCAGTTTCGGAACAGGCCTTCATACAAAGCTTCATAGGCTAAAGGGGTATATATACCTTCGGATTTTGGACTTGGAAGCTCCGCCATGGAATGGCCCAAGCTTGACTTGAATGCTTTCTCTAGGTCCATAGACGAAATATTATGGTCTCAAAATGGCATGAGAAGCAATAGACGGAGGGATATTAGGCCAAAACTGCCAAATGCTTCTCAAGTTGCACGGATTTTGTGCATGAATCTATATTGTGTTTACAATTCTGTATGACTCATCGAGCGGGCAAGATAGGCACATCGAGCTGACTATGAGATACCAAACTATCACCTAAAAGACCCTATACGAGCTGCTCGTCAGACATACAGAAGATATCTGCTCCTGAACAGGCCTTCATACACGGCTTCTTAGACCAAAGCGATATATCTTTAGACTTTTGGGCCTAGAAGCTCTAGCATGGAATAGACCAAGCTTGATTTGGATGCTTCCTACAAGTCCATAGGCGAAATATTGTGTTCTCAAAATGGCATAAGAAGCAACAGACAGAAAGATATTGGACCAAAACTATCGAATGCTTCCAAAGTAGCACATATTTTGCGCATTAATTTATAATGTGTACACAATTCTTAATGATGCATTGTGCAGTCGAGATAGGCATACCGGGCTGACCATGAGACTTTAAACTATCGCCTAGAAAATCCTATACGAACTGCCCATCAGACGTACAGAAAATATTGGCTCTTAAACAGGCCTTCATATAAGTTTCTTTGACCAAATGGGTGTTACCTTTAGATTTTGGCCGAAAGCTCCAACATGGAAAGGCCCGAGCTTGATATTTCAATGATTCGTATAGATTTAATAATGAAATTTTGTGGTCTTAAAATGGCGAAACAACAAAGGAAGAGATATTGGACCAAAATTATCGAATGCTTTAAAACTGGCACCGATTTTGTGCATAAATTTATATTGCATATGAAATTCTTATTGATGTATCAAATAGGCGAAATAGGCATGTTGGGCTACCCATAAGACTCCAAACTATCGCTTGGAAAACCCTATACGAACTATACATCAAAAATACAAAAGATATTGGCTCCGAAAAAGGTCTCCGCACATAGACACCAATGTCCATTTTGCAAGGGGAGAATAGAAAAGAAAATTTCCAAGATACACGCTATAACAGTTGTATTAATTTATAATTCGGCGGTGCCAGCTACTTACGAGCTTTGAGCTTTATGCCAACAACCTATCAAGTATTTGTTTCCATTCCATTATCATGCTATGTCGGTTATGTTTCCATCTTCAAAATCTTTTTCTACAAACGGACGTCTTCTAACGACAATCCCAACCTTATCGAGTCAAATAACTAAGCCCAGAAGATGGTGAGCACGTTAGCACTTTTAGGCTTGGATCAAACCCAAATAAGTCTGAAAAGTTAAAACTTTAAGCCAGACCAAATTAAAAACTGGGCGACGACTTGAGGTAGAAGCAACAGACAGAATAATGTCCCAAAAAAACAGAAAACAATCGTAACAAAGCCGTGTGCGAGTATCCATTTTAATTGCTTACTTTAACATGCTCTACTACAAAATTTAATTATAAGGGTGGCACAAGTTTGAAAAGGGCAAAAAAAATGTTCAGAGACCTGAAAATGGTTACAGATGCAACCCAAAACCCCCCTCTTCTTCAACGTTATATGATCGTTTAGGTTGGAAAAAAAGAGTAATCACATAATCTTGGTACCAGCACTAATTACTCTACAACAGAATGCTGCTTGATTAAATAAGAGAATCAAAGAGATTCAGCCCGCCATATCAGCATCTACAGCCATTGGCTTATTGTCCGAAACATAGGCTGTATCTGCTGCTGCATGCTCTGTAAACTGTGCCATTGTGGACTTTGACTCCGTCACCGCAAAAGGACTCCTCATTTGAGATGCAGTAGAATCTATTTCCATGGCAGATGCCCGTGGAGGAGAGGGAGGTTGGACCACAACATCTGGGTAAGCAGCCTTAAATCTGGCTCGCAGGCCTTCATCTACCAGTCGCACTCCCTCCAATTGATTACCAAGTGACATCCACCTGATGGAAAACAAAAGAAATGAGAAGGTACTGAGGTGACGTAATTGGCATTTAGTGATCCAAAATTACAGTGCCTGATTTTGTTTACAGGAAGAGTTAATAGCAGAACATAGAATGTAAAGATATACACAGAGGAAATATAGTTATGCTCTGAGATATGGGCTTCCTCCTGAGTATAATACCCAAGTGATGCTAATACATGATAACTAATTATTTGTCATACTTGCTGAGTATACAAGACCATTCTAAATCCAGATGATCAGTATTATATATTATATACTTTGCTAAAGTTTGTACATTGATGCTAAACTAAATTTTTACCAATTTAATCTGGAACCAAGAAGCATAACTATAATTTCAAGAAAATATACCCAGCATGAGTATTATGCATACGAGCAAACAATTCCAGCTTTCTTGTCCTTGGACTGATCCTCTCCAGCATAGGGTACATCTGCAATAGTTTATTTGTACTAATCAAGTTTGTACCAAATAAGTTGTCATTGAATTATTTCAAACTGACTTCATTTATTATTTCAAAGCATTTCAGAAAAATAGTAATTCTAAGGACAACAGAGAAATGAGATAGGCTACCGAGAACTTGGTATATGTATTTACAAACCTCATCTGGCTTACGACTTGTCTCTCGAACCTCAGCAACAATGACATCCGTATCAATGTTCCTGTTTACTTCTGGGTTTCCCTTAATTCCAACAAGGCAGTGCTCCTTGCTATGATTGAGCCAATGCCCTGTCCGGCCTGTTCTAATGATTCGCTGGAGTTGATTAGTCTTTACCCAAATGATCTCCTCAACACGCTTGTACCCCCAAAGCTCCAAACTGCAAAAAACATCATGATATGCATCATTTTCAAGCTTATCCCACACAATTATTCATCATTATCAACAATACTAATGACTAGAAATGACCATATATGAACACATACCACTCACGCCCAAGCTCCATTGCACGTCCAGTAACCCAAAGGAAAATCAGACCATCGGTCTGTAACACAGGAACATTAAGGTTCCGCATTTCGTCATCAGCCATTGTCCCATAAGGCAGTTCCATATGAATGTCCCATGGTGGATCAGCCATGATGACTCCAAATTGCCCTAAAATCTCCATTTTAAATGAGCGAATATCACAATTAATCCATTGTGGTTCACCAAGTTCTACTTCTGAACAATATTCTGCACGCTGAGGCTTTAAAGGTTTGGGGAGAGAAAGTGTTCCAGCACCCATCATCATAGGTGGCACATCTGGAGTCGGATCAAGCTCATAATGAACATACTTGCATGTCTATCAAAGAAGGCAAGATTATGTTACTCATGGGCTAGTAAATTTACTCTTAAAGAAACATTTTAAGTTATTGCAAAAGAGGGCACCCCAGGGCTTGAGGCCCTCAAGGCCTTACCACAGTAACCTTAGTGTAGCAACAAGAACTGCCCTAAAAAGAACCTTACCTTCATGTGACGGCAAGTGTCTAGAAAAGAACAGTCTCCTTGACTGACATCAGTATGAGGAGCAATAATTCGTCGGAAATGAACCTGTGACATGTCAAAGTATCCAAAATGAAAAATGTTCACCATGATAATCGAATAAAGGCTATAGCAAATTAGGAGGTTATAGTGATCATGACAAAATGTCATCTTGTGAGATGCCGTTTGATTCAATTTAGAAAGTTATGGCGATTAAATCCAATTTTTAGTGTATGTGAGTCTTCTGTTCTTTGACAAACTCCCAAGTAATGACACCTTAATGTCATTATCATGGTTTTTATTTTATTTTTATTTGTAATTGGGTGTTTCTTCCCTATATTTAAAGCATAGTTAGAGTAATCCACACTAGCAGAAAAGCAACATGCATGAGATATTTGTGATTACATAGTACAATGTCACGATTTACACAGCACAACATGTACAAAATGGGGCTGAAAAAGCCCTAAAGATCCAATAATAAGGTGAATAAATAGCCAACTAATGTTTAGTTGCTTCAGACAGCTTCATAGTTCCACAACTTTCACTTATTTCCATACTGTTCTTCCAATCAGTTCAACTGCTTTGTACATTGCATTATCTCATTCTATTTAATTGCACTATTTTCAACTTGTTTTTTACACATAAATACTTGTAACCATAGTAATTAAAGGCGCAAGGTGCACTAAGGCTAGGCACTAGCCTCCAGGCGAAGGCGCAGCCTGAGTGAAGTGAGGCGCAAATTAAAAAAAAAAAAAGAATAAAACACAGAAATCTAAAAAATATATTTTAAGATATCAATCATAAAAAAAGAGAGATAAAGTAGAAAACATGGAAAGAAACACACATAAATCAGAAAAAAATGGCAACATGACAATTTATATTTTAAGACATTAGAGTTAAGACGGAAAAGAGTATAATCAAAAAAATGAAAAAAGGAAAAGAAATAGAAAGCAAATATAGGAAGAAAAATTGAAAGAGTTATATCTGGATGGAATGGGGCTAAAGACTAGATTACAAAAGGTGACTGCCAGATTGGAGGTTGGATCACAAATCACATCACCGATTTTTGTGTTGCATTTTATTTCTTCTATATTTATTTATTTATTTATTTATTTTGTGTAAGTTGACTTTGGCTAGGTAGCTTTATATTGAAAAAAAGAAATAGTTGATTTATTCTGGAAAACAAAAAATTAGAAAGGTGCACCTTTCTCAAGCCTTAGGCGCAAAAAGGCGCACGCCTCTACCCAGAGGCAATAGCCTGAGTGAAATCGTTCGCCTCAAGACTGTTGAGGCACAAGCCCTTGAACCTTAAGTAACGCGCGCCTGAGGCACACCTTTAATAACTATGCTTGTAACTCAACAATAAATACCAAGCGCTGGGCCACCTAAAAACTTAATCGACAACCTCAACCCAGTTGCAGGAGTAGGTAATTGGATTAAGTAATAGAGACAGAAATTTCAAGTTTTCACCAAACGAACTTCCCTATAACATATAAACAAGTTCTTACTCCTCAATCTTCTGAAGTCCACTTCATAACTAACAAAAAGTTAAAGAGCACTTTGTTTTGGCTGACCCTGACAAATCTATAGAGCTTTGACTAGAAGTCTCTATGACAATGAGGCAAAGATAAGAAGATATAGTATGACCTAATCATAAACATATGTTTTATGCTAATAAACAATACCGGCACAATGTAACTATACTGACCTTCTCACATGCCATAAAGGAACCAGATTGACGCCTGCAATCCTCTTTTGTTAGGGCAGAACAGTATTCCTTCAGTTGAGAACCACCTTTGGTTTTGAACTGAAACCAACAATGTCATTTATGATATAGCCAACTAAAAAGGGAGAGAAAATAAAGCTAAAGAACGGGGGAACTGTAAAAGAATAAGCCACTTCATATATGAATTTTCATCTTGACACATTCAAAGCAAGGTAGAAGGATCCCACCTATGCGATGGGAAACAAAAATAGCTCCAAGCTGACACTTCTAATTCTAAGACATCATTACTTCTATAAAAAATAACTATAGAAAAAAAGCTTCTTAATAATTTAAACCAACATCTTAAAGAGTCAAGTAAGATGGCAAACATAAACAGCTGAAATTGAAAGGCTAAAATGTCAAGTACCTTGGCAGCCACAGCAGTTTCTTTTGCAGTAGGCCGATGGATGAGGTCCAAAAGCTCCTCTCCAGTCTTGGATTTCTGTATCTCCATAAATGACTTCTTATTGAGCAATGCTTCCAAATCCTTCATATCATCCTCCTCTGTTCTAGGCTTCTGCTGCTGCTGCATTGACAATGGCGGCCTCTGCATCATCCCTCTTGGCCCCATCATCATCCCTCTAGGACCCACCATTCCTCCCCTTGGTGGCCCATTCCACATATCCCCACCAGGACCGCCACTCATCCACATATCTGCTGGCATTGGTCTCTGCACCAAAGGCCCTCCCGTTCCAAAAACTCCATTGTTATTCATATCAACCGCACCACTGCCATTGTTACCGCTCTGACTCTGATTTAAATCACTAGAATTTAAAGATTCTAAATTTTGCTGATATTGTGCACTTTCAGGCAATTCTTTAAGTAGTCTATTTCGGTCAATATTCAGTACCATAACTCTAGACTTACCACTAACTACAAATTCCTCGAGTTCAATCCCATGGTTCTCCTCCGACATGGACCTCAAAGCCATCTCCACCGCAAGAATCGCACCAGACTCCCCACCCACCTCCCTCAACGCCGCCTTCTCTGCTGCAGTGGCATTCTGGTCATTCTCCAGCTTCCTCAAAACTGTCGACGAATCTATCGGATCAAACGGCACCCTCTGCAACAAGCACTCCGCCACCATTACCCTCACAACCGACAACGGACTCCCACTCTCATCGACACTAAACTTATCGTTAACATTAGATTGGGCGTTCTCAAGCTTGGAAATTGCGGGCTTAGAAAGAGTACCAGAGCGAGGACTAGATGGACTCTTTACATGGTTGGCTATTTCGAGAGTTTTCTTTATTGGGTTAGGGAGAGAGGGCGTAGGGGTAAACGGTTTGTGATTGAAGGAAGACACAATTTGAAGAGAGAGGTCAATAGAAGTGACGATATTAGGTACTAGAGATTGGAGAGAAGCTAAGAGGTCAAGTTGGGTCCTTTGCTGAGTTTCTATTCGAGATTCGAGCTGAGAACGTAGGCTTTTGATGGTGGAGACCGCCGTATCCTCGTTCCCATCTGAGTTACTCTCCATTAATCACTCTGTTTCTTTCTCTCGAGAGTGAAGAATCAAAGCTAACGTTTTTGCAGATTAGGGGTTCTAACTTGGGAGAGTCGCGAGAGTTTAAGAGTGTAATAATCACGGGTCCGTTCTCGGCCACCTAATCGAATTCCACTTATATACTGTAATGATCAACGGTATTCCCAATTTGATACTGTACGAAATGTCATTTTATGAGATTCTGAGATTAATCTAACGACCTGACGTTTATATAGCGCGATAACGACAACGACTCGTCACTGCGATACCCTTGAAGAAGCTTTGCTTAAAATATTGAACAATACATACAAAGAAAGGAATGCTGGGCTTTGAAAAATATAATAACAAAAGATTTGCCCTTTTTTTATCTTTTAGAGGTCGGTTTTTCCAAGTTCTAAAACAGTGTTAATGGCAAAAAAGTAAGTAATAGATAGAATTTTCAAGCCATGTTCTTCTTTTCTTGTAATAGATTGTCTAGCTGAAAACTGGACAACCATCAACCACAATTCCCTTAGCGGTTGGGCAAGTAGCCAAAGGGCATCCATCAAGATCATTCCCCCACCAATCAACGCTAATATTTTCTATCCCCAAACAAAGATATATTAACACTCCCATGAAGGCAAGGCCAGCATCCAATGACCCAGAAAGTACATAATTATATCTCTGCCACAAGTCTGGCCTATACCTATACACAACAAATCCAGAAAGAAAACCCAATATAATCCAACTAGTGTAATTAACTGCTGTAGCTGGTGGCATCATTCCTGTTGCTCCTATTAACACTGGCATGTTGATTAGTGTAATCCATTCTTGTTTTGGAAATGCCTTTGCAGCTAGCCATACAAGAACAGGTGCTACTGCTCCTGCGAGGAAAAACCAGTTGATTGCTTCGTATGTGCCTAAATCTCCAAAAATTCTTCTGGGTCCAATCAAACCCCAGATCACTGATGCATCGTAGAATACAGTGTCACTTGGGCAAGTCCAGACGCTGTTGGAGGCTGTTGTGTCACATATATCTGTAATGGTCTCCATTAACCACCATGCTGTGCCTAAATATGTAAGGCAGGCGATGAGGCTCCCCACAATCTAAACAAAGTCGAAGCAAATATGAAATTTAGATAGGAAAATGTGAAAGTTGAAGAAGGGAAAAGCAGGAATTTTGTGAAGGGCTGATACCTGTGCCATGAACATTGTCCTAGGAGGAATCTTCATGTAGTGGCCAAGTTTAAAGTCTTGCAGGAAAGCTATGGCCTGTGTCATACTTATGTAGCCATAGACTTTGAAGCACATATTGGCAACTGGGTATCCTGGGTAGATATACCCAATGATATACTCTGTTATAACGTTCAAGCCTGGTGTCTGTCATCAGAGCAACCAACATCAGCAAAATGCATTAAATCTTTTCCCACCTCAAAAAACCTCCTTTTCTCTTTCACTGTTGAGAAATGGTTATGGGAAGTATGTTATATGTTCATTTTTGTATACATACACACATATATAGAACGAATCTTCCTACATTTTGGGCTCAGGATATTACCTGATTTGTGATGGCAGTGATGGTGCCTATTGGAAGAGTGAACAAAATGGCAATCCCACAGGCTAGTAAAACACCCCACCAAGGCAATTGAAGTTGATCATTGTAATATTCACAAGCAAAGATGGTGGCTGCAATGTTACACAAAAGGATACCCACAAACCATGATTCAGGAACCTGCTTATACTTCCTCATCAGTTTTGTGTGTATATCCATCTTCTTTTCTTGAAAGCTTGCTTTGCTTTGCTCCCATATCTCCCTACATTGCTTATATTAATATTAGGATGTAAAAATAACCATAATTTTAGGAATCAAATCTATTAGGTATAGATATATGAAAATTAAAATTTGCCCTTCGAGTCTTTAACTTAGTACCTTCCATGAAACAGGGCAACATGAACAATTGTGGCAGTAAGTGCAGCAAAACCAACTCCATAAGTCATTGCAAAAAAGGTACTGAGATAAAGGGGTCCTTGCTTCTCATAAGCAGCAAGATCAAGATGAAAATTGGAATCAACTATAGCAGAAATGTTATACTCCTGGCCGCTTGATGTAAAGAGGTCATCTGAGAATATAGGGAAAGTTTTGGCCTTGTAGACATTAAACCAGTAACATAATGGGGTCAAAATGTACATGACAAAAATGAATCCAGCAGCCACATTAGCCGTAGCAAACCAAGGGCTAGCAAGTGGGCTTCCAAGATAAGAGGAGATAGTTGACCAGTCAATCCCAATAGCACCAATTCCAAGCCCATAAAGGCCTGAACCCAGTTGTTGGGTCAAGACAGATTTTGGGAATATCCAGCAAACCCAGGAGAGGGAAGTCAACATTTGGAAGAGGTAGCCTGGGAAAACATAGTAAGCAAAGCTGCATATGAAGGCTATTACAAAGAACTGTATACGGGTCACTCCTCCTTTGGCCCTCTCTTCCTTCTCATGCAGAGCCCTGTAATTAGAAGTAGATTTTGGCCACCAGAACTCAAATGAATCCTCAACACTCATCATACCTTTTTTCCTTAAACAGAAAGGCAGAAACTTGAAGGTCAAAAATACCTGAACAATGAAACTTGAACAAGATTTGCTGGCCACCACATAGCTGCAGGCTCCACCAGGTACTTCCTAAATATGCCGGCCCATCCAAACCCCAAAACCTACCATTCAAACCCCGCCAAAAAAAATATTGACCACCGAAAAATGCAAAAGCGTAATGAAGTTTGAGATAGTATTGATAAAAGCAAGTACTAACCTGGGTTGTGATAATAACAATCAAAGAAACAAAGAACGTAATATGCTTCTTATAAAACATCTTAACAACAGTAACAATATGAATGGCATAAACGCTGCCAGCTCCAGAGTTAGCAAAGATGGTGATAAGAACATGTTCTTTGACGTTAAAGGGTCCAGGATTCAATGTGAATTCCCACCGAGTGCCTTTTAAGAAAACTCTATCTGTAATCTTGGCAGCCATTAATTGGCCAAGAGGCACTACAGCAATCTGGGCAGAGATAGCTGTGATTGATAAAGGTTCTGTGCGGTACCAAAAGAACTGATTGAGAAATGATAAAAGGACACAAGAAATGGTGCCCAAGACCCACATTCTAAATGTGAGAACCGGTAGAGAAGGGTCATCTGTTGTTGGCACTGTTAAGGCTACTTGTTTGACTGGTGAGTTCTCTTCTGTTTCTTGTAGTTTGTTGATCTCTGATGATGAGGAAGATGATGGTATGTCGTTAGGATCCTTAACTTTCTCATCCGTGCTTACTGCACAAATTAATCACACACTCACAATTAGTAAATTGCTTCAATTTCTATTGTTTACAAAAATAGATCTTATTTGATATGAAGATGCAAGAGAGACTTACTTAGAGGGGCTCTGATCTCATGTGTTTCTTCTTCCATGTTTTTGGTTACAAGTTTGTAGAGGGAGAGAGGAACTTGAATTTTTCAGTACATAAAATTGCAAGATTTTCCTTTCATAAGTTGAAATGCCAAATAATGATAATCTCTTTCCTCTTTTTTTTAGTTATCCACTCATTGCAGGTGGTGGAGAGAGGCTCAAAGAGTATACAGGTTTATTTCTTGGCTGAGATAGCTCATATATTCAGGGCATTCTTAAAATTGCATGAATAGAACAAGAATGAAGTGAAAATGGTTAGACAAAATTGGATTAATTCTTAACTCAAATTAGTTGGTCCAGAGCAGAAATTAGATTTCATGATTTAGGTGTGACCAGACAATAATAAGTTACAGAAGGATTTTTCCCAACTAACTTCTTTTATTTGGTAGCTCTACCTGTCTGTCAAAATGAGTACTTAAGATATAGATTCCATGGTATTTAAAACTCCAGATTTGTTACTTCTTATGGGTTGTTACGTGGAGCCACTTTGCAATGGACAATTCGATAATTTCCGTTGCTCTATAATTTAAAATTTAAAATTAAAATAAAATAAAAAAGGCAATGGTTGGTTTTGTAATTTAAACACAATCTAGTGTCCAATTTCCTCGAAGCTCCAAAATGCAACATGTCATCTTCCTGATCAGGCACTCAGCGAACTCAGACACAACTTAACCCACAGTTAACAGAACCCTAAATCTGTGTTTCTCTCTCCTTTACATATTCTATACACTCACCCACCATGGTTCAATGGGCAGGTTTGTTTATAAACACATCACAACTCTCTTAATCAATCTCATTATTATTAAACTAAATGTTTTCTTTCTCTGATTAGATGATCGCTCTACAATACCCAATTTGTAATCTTTGAGAAGAGTTTTTGATAAAGTTCAAATTTTTGGCTGTTTTTGTCTTGGTGATTAACATCCTGATTCAAATCTCTCAATTCTCGTGTTTTTTCTTTTGGAAAGCAGTTTCACCTTCTGAGTTTTACCTCTTTCTTGGCCTGATCACGTGTCATTTCCAATTGGCTGTTTTTGTTTTGGTTTCTTGAGATTATTATTGTTATTTATCAATTATTGTTTATTCCTTGAACTCAAATTGATTTTTCTGCTTTTTTCGTTGCTATCTCTTGGTGCAGATGTTTTGGCAAACAGAAGCTGAAAATGATATGCTATATAGTTTTCTGATATCAGTAGTAAGTTCCTGTTCACTTCAAATTCCTTTATATTTTAACTATTTACTTTTTTTGCAATGGATTAATAGAGTTTTTGTGGCATTTGGATGTCTTCCTTTAAAGGATCTTAATTTGGTTGAACTGGTTTGTGGGTGAGTGTTGTTAATTATCATCAATGGCAGAGTTTGTTGGGCCAAGATTGTACAGTTGCTGTAATTGCAGAAACCATGTTGCCTTTCACGATGATGTCATTTCTAAGGCGTTTCAGGTGAAAGCTTAATGCTGATTCTAGTTTGGATATAATTTGTATTGAATCTGAATGGGAATAAAATTTGGACCCAACAGAATTAAAAACCAGACTTAGACTCAATTGGGTGTAATAAAGATGGGCTTTAGATTATTTGTTATTGCTTGAAGGCAATTTTTTTTAGAAGCATCCGATGCATATTTACCCTTAATATTTTTGTTTTTTGGTTTAGTTCGACCTCAATGATCAATTATTTCCTTTATTGTGACCTAGGGAAGACATGGTCGAGCCTTTCTATTCTCTCATGCGATGAACATTATGGTTGGACCGAAGGAGGACAGGCAGCTAATGACTGGCCTCCACACAGTTGCTGATGTCTATTGCTGCGACTGTCATGAGGTGCTCGGTTGGAAATATGAACGAGCTTATGAAGAAACACAAAAGTACAAGGAAGGAAAGTTTATCCTTGAGAAGTCAAAAATAGTTAAAGAAAACTGGTAGCAGTCGGCAGCATTCTGTTAACCTCATGGTATTGGTGTAAGTGTATGTCTGCTACTACATTTTCATCTTGTCCAGGAAAATCTCATCAATTGCAAATATTTTCTTGTTGTCCTCCGATGTGCATTCTTGTTGTTTTTCCTTGTGTGGATATTGTATTGAACATTATTAGTTTGTTAATAAATTGTGAATAATTCTGTCATTTTGTTATTCATTATGCTGATGAAGTGAATGTTTAGCTCCTTAGGAGATTGTGAGGTTCCTTAGGCATGTATCAGTAGCACTGGTCTTATGAAGTGTTCCTAGGACCATGTCAATATGTTCCTTTTGTTAATCAGCATTAGTAGTAATGAAATTTGCCTTAGCTTCTGCTCTTTTGGGCTAATTGCAGTTTGCAGACTCATCATTTGTTTTGCTAAAGTTTTTCAGGCCTGTAAAATCATATTATTTATTGTCATGACAGTTCTGCTCCTCCACTCCATACCAGTTGCATGTGATTTTTAAAGTACTGATGACAAATATTTTGCATGAAATGGGGCTGGTATCCTCACAATAATCGCCAGTCGGCTAAAGCAATACGCTTAACATTGATTTCTCCCTGAGGAGCAGATTATCTACTAAGACAGAGGGGAGGGGCGTCATATATTAGTGTTTGTGTGTGCGAGAGAGAGAGAGAGAGAGAGAGAGATGTGGAGAATATTGAAATGTGCTCATGAACCGCAGGATAATATTGATGTGCTTAATTAGGTGAGTGAAAAAGATTAATTTGCTGCAGATTGGATTAGGTGAAAGGATTGAAGTTTAAGAAAGATGTGGAGAATTATTGAAGGAACCTTTCATCATAAAGCTGCAATAGCTTTCTTGTACTGATGTTCTGATAGAAAATGGTGATCACATGCTAAATGCTCAGAGAAACAATTATTTCAGATAGATAAGGTATAGGGATTCCATTTTCTGTCATGATAATATGCTTTGGTTGGTGTTTAACTCTTTGTTAGGCTAACTACTCCAAAAGCATATGAACTTTTGAGGAAAGTTCATTGTATTTACTGCACTTGCTGCTTCGAGGTTTAAATTGAAATGTCCATAGATATTAAGCTCAAGTAGATGATTTACACTTGATATAAATGGGTTTGGCAATTGACATTGTAATGAGTCTGATAACAAGGGGATTGTGGATTCATTCATCTTTCTGCCATATTCCTTCCACTTGAAAGCCCCATTCCATATATGTCTGGTGGTAATGTTTTTTTGCTAATTTCTAATTATCCCAATGGTAGAGTCGACAAGATACACATCTAGGAAGCTTATTGGATTAAATAATCCATTTATGTAATGTAAACCATCAGCAAAGGGTGTTTCAATTTGTTATCTTTATGCAACTAAAATAATGACTGAGTAGATAAATGGAATCCTACATCCAAGAAAACAGTACAAGAAGTACATTCATAATTAAAAGTTTTTTATAATTCGTGAATCATTCTAGACCAAAACCCAAAATTACCGATTCATTCAAACAAATTTAAAATGTTGTAACTTATTCCTTTGAAAGAGGTGCAGTGCAGGCTAAAAAATACCTATAATGAATGAATAAAGTTGCGCTCTTGAGTGCAACATTTTTCTGTATGTACAAGAAAATAACAAGTGATGGCAAATGATTCCGCCAGCAAGCATCCAAATTTGGAATTTTAAAAAAAAAAAAATGGAAGTGCCAAAAAAAATGGCTTCTTCCAATGCCTGTCACTCGTAAAGCTGGAGAAAAATTCCAAGAAAATCTAGTACATCATATGACAGGTATCTTCTTCTTTGTCGTCCACTTCTTTTTCGCATTTTCTATTGCTTCCTCCCTCATCCTCAAGAGTTCTCGGAAGCAATGGTTATACTGCATATCAATTGCATCAAGCTCTAGCTTTAGCTCATCCTGCTGATCTTCGTTTGCTAAGGAAAAAGGATTTGTAGAATTCTTTACAGATTTGTCATATTTAGATATACCGTCAAAATCAGAACCAAACTCAAATGGGTTCAACTCCAAAGAATAGTCAGAAGATCCCAAGGGCTTGTTAATACTGGTATCGGAGGCAATCGTCAAATGAAACTCAGCAGATATATCTGAATTGAATGATACTTGAGTCTCTTGACCCCGCATGTTATCCGACTGCAAGAAATCATGTTGTCTACCTACCTTGGAAGTTTCATCATTTTGTAATCCAGAAGAACCATTTGGTATACTTAAAGTACCTCCAAACGAAGGACTCCAGCAAGGCACAAGCTTCATTATCAAAGCATCAATCAACTCCGCAATGATAGCCACATCTTCATTTGACAAACCAAGTTGTTCAACCATCTCTTCAGCTATTGAAAACGCAGTATCAGAATCAAGGAAAAAAGTAAAATGGATATTTTTTACTCCACCTGTTACAAAAACAACATTTATTCAGAATACAGTTAAAAGGAAAAAAACATGTACTAGAGTATCAGTTTGTAAAGAAGATGAACTCACCATATCTTTCCACAATGCGCAAAGTTAATGATACTGTATTATCATCATTTTTCTCCCCTCTTAACCTGAAGTCATTTTTCTCAGTGAACCTCTGCAATTCTGAAGCTGAAGGCTGCAGAGCCTCATCAAAGCTTTTTGTGCAAGAGCTGATTGAAAGCTTCTTGTGATTAGCGTCAATATCCATAGGATGAGATTCTGATTGTAGCAAGTTCACTTGTTTGGACATAAGATCCGGCAAATGTAAAGATGCAGAAAGAAATTCCTTTGAATTTGGATTTTCAGTTGCCAGGAAAGGGTCTTTCAAGAGTTCTATCGCAGGCAATCTCATCGATGCTGGAACTAGACACTTCTCTATGAACTGCTTAACTTGGGGGTCATTTACTTTACTGAGAGAGGCAGGCTTTATGCCCTGCAATAAATGAAAGTAACACAGACAATGAGACAATTACTACAGAAGTGCACTAAATTGCTAATTGCAAATGGCCTTAAACTCTTAAAACTCACCGAGGTCACCTTCTTATATATCTGTGCGGGGTTCTTGCATTCGTTATATGGGTATTCACAAGTAACCATTTCTAACATGCACATGCCAAATGAGTAAATGTCAACAAGCTCATTATATTCCTCCTCATACAGCTCTGGAGCCATGAATTCAGGAGTACCTACAAAATCAAGAATGAATAAAATTTTTGATCTCGGTGGCCTGTCTAGAGTTGTGGATTCCAGAGAACTGAAGCCATTACCTATAACACTTCGGGCTGTAGGCTGCTGCATGACAGTTGCTAGTCCTAGATCTCCAATTTTAACTTCCCCATTGTTCCCGTTAACAAATACATTGTCACATTTCAAATCCCGATGAATGATAGGAGGATTATGACTATGCAAATAATGTAAACCTCGAAGAATTTGTCTTGCCCAGTTTTTTATGGCCTTTATTTCAACATATTTATGCTTCCTGCGGTATCTAAGTCCCCAAAAAGAAAAGGAAGGAAAAAAAAAACATCATGAATTATACAAGCAACATGGAATACAAATAAAATAATTAATATTTGAAACAGATAAAGAAACTCACTGCCTCAAACTCCCAGAAGTGAATAGTTCTGTTATCATGTTTATAGTCTTCTTCTTATCATCCACCCAAGAATAATAGAATTTCATGATATTTTCATGTTTAAGTGACTTCAGCAGATGAACCTCTGAATATAGCCTTTCCAGCTGGTCAGGCGACTGCAACACATCTTCAATACTCACTTGGTTCCATGCAACCTCAATTCCATCAACTTCATCAAATGCCTTATATCTAATCATAACAAAAAGTGAACCAACACAAGAAAATAGCAAAGTCAAATATGTATTATTTTTAGAAAGCTATTTCTAATGCTGAGAACAGAGAACCACTGAAACTGAAGTTAAAAACAAGGAAACTAGAGAAGATAGGTTGCAGAACCATACACAGTCTTGAATGCACCTTTCCCCAAGAATTCATCATACTGAAGGAGTAAAACAAAGCAAACAAAGATCGCATCACTAAATCTATTAAAGCAAATAAGCTAATTCAACAAGACATTAATTCCAATAAGCAAACAAGACATTGAGTATTTTTGGTCTCTAACCACCATATAGTTTTAATGCCAGTTATAAATTCAACATTTTGACTTTTATTCTACACAGAGCAAGAAAATCAACTACTATCAAGTTTCCTAATTCATACCAGAACCTCTATTCAGCTGAGAGCTTAAAAACTATTTCCTCTCATTAACAAATAATAAAATTTCAAACTTTTTCCTTCAATTCATTCAATATGCTGGGACGCCAAACAAAAAAGAGAAATATAATTTCAAAGAAGCCATACCCGAACGTATCGACCAGTGGGGTCTCTCTCTGCAAAATCACCATCATCCTCACGCGAAGCCAAATCCATTATCAACGAAAACGACAGAAAAAGCCTCCAAAAACCACGAAAGCGTAGAGCCAAACAAAAAGACGCACCGCTAGAAAAACAATAAAGAAAACGAAAACAAAAGGAAAAAGGAAACCCTATCAAAGCAGTTCGGTTTCAACACCGATGGGAAGCGAAGAAGAAGAGAAGGGAAGCTGTTTCTGTTGCTGCTGTTCAGAGAATGCCTCACAAGCAACCGAATAGGAATTGAATGCCGATCGGAACCAGAATCGGCATCCAAATATGAAAAAACTCATGTCAGATTCCGGCGACTTCAATTCCATAATCGAATTTCGCTTATAAATCGATTTCCACATATTCATTCCAACCCTAGATTCACCCATCTCGCTACCCACATCTTTTGTTTCGTTTGCCTCACCACTGATTAAGCTTGCGACAGAAAGCCATAAAAGGAGAGAAAAAGCTATAGGACTTGGAAACAAACAACTGGACTCACTGCAGAGGAAGAATTTACAAGTCCAATCGAGAATTGAGAGAGAACGAAACTTTAAAATGCAACTCAGCCGTATGAGGTCTATATCTGGCGCGCAATCCCACGCGTTTCAAAGGGCGCGTGTAGTTAACAAGTTTTGATAAATAAGGAAGCTATTCCAATAATGGTAGAATTCCATTCTGTTTTAGGCTTGGAAATTGCATTATCTTAATATCTTCTACCCATATTCTAAATCAATTGATTTTGGATAATTTGATGACTTTTTTTAATTTTCTGAAAATGAATTTCAAAATTTTTAGATTTTGATACTTACAAAATCTGGCACTTCAAAGGGATCATAAGTTTCAAATTTCAAAAGGAAAATTTGAAGGAATTGAATGGCTTCATTCATATGTAATTGCTTTTTGAAAAATTTTCAATTAAATTAAAATGCAATTATAGTAATTTGGTGCAGTTTCAACTTGTGGTTTAATGATACAAAAAGAGCATTTTTATCTAAATATTGGATTGTATTTTTATTTTTTAAGGCGGTGGTGAGGCTAGTGATGGTGGTCATACAAGCCATCGGTCAGATTAATGAGCATGCATAGATCGAATTTAGATCAAGCAAGTGGATGATCAACGTCTTTATCATCCAGCCATCATATCAGATTGTTGTTCTTATGTATGGATCACCATAGATTGTTGTTATTATCTATGGATCACTATCACATATATAATCAGCATGGGACTAAAGGATAAATTTGACTTGTCTCGTATCTTATCCGATGTCTTATTGTTTATGGATTATTGATACTTAGACATAGATAATTAATCTGGGCCTAAAATATAAATTTTATCTATCTCATATCATAATGATTATCATATATCTTACTATCTATGGATCATCGCCACATATATAATTAATTCGAACCTAAAGTATAAACTTGATCTATGGTTTGGGCAGTTAACCCTGTGAATTTTACATATGATACTGCATGATTAAATTTATATATTAGACCAATTAATCCGTCTCACTGTCAAGGATGTGAGATTATTATACAACAATAAAATTCGAAATATTACAAGATTATAATTTAATCAAATTAATAATCTCTTAAAATTTAAAAGAAGTAATTATGCATTTTAATTCAATTTAATGGTTTGAAGTCTTTCTCATACAATAGATTACTCTGAACAATCAGGCACCTAAGATAAATGTAAAATTTTAAATATCTTACAAGTCAAAGAAAACAAATACTTATTCACTATAAGTATTATATATATATAATATTGCAATCCACACACAAGACTGGGCTTCTGTGAATCCGAACTTTACCATCACAATCAACGTACCATCAGCACAGTCTGATATCTCATCTTAAAAAGAAATCTAGGAGAATTGCAAACCACTTGAATCTTACAATCGAGTAAGGGGGGGTAAGCTAATAATAGAATTTCTCAAACTGATAATATGTGCAAAATTAGTATAACATTCCTTATTTCAACCCCATTTTCCACCCTCAGCTCCTTTTCTTTTCATTGCATCTTTGCATTAAAGGAAAATGAAACCAAATATTAAAACACAGAATCTATCATATCTTACTGGCTATCATTGCTAATCAAATCTGAAATAAGAAAAGAGAAACACAACAAAGTACCCTACTTGCATCACCCATTTTTGGATTAGTCTTCTTAAGGCAATACACTTCCCTAACTCAGCTCCACAAAAAGGCTGGCCTGAGGATGCAACCCTGCTTCTTTCAAGGACAGAGAGAGTTTCTCTGAACCATATGTGACCCTTGGAAAATTTGAGACAAGGCTGTATGTCTCAACCTCTAAAAGACCCAAAGAATCAACATAGTCATATAGAGACTGGATAGTGGCAGTATTGTGGAACCTTCTTTCTTTGCGTTGGCCAGTTGGTAAGCGTACCAAAACCTGATTAACAAAGGAAGTTGCAAAACAATATGTTAGTTCTGAAAGATGCAATCTTGATCAAAGAAAAAGTCGGAATAGGTCTAGCTAGAGATACTAAGATTCATTTGCATACAACTTCATTGATATATAAAAGCTAACAGCCTGAACTAAAATAAAGACAACCAATTAATTAGCAAAGAAACATAATGCCATTTTACTATGCTCTAGTATTCCAACACTAAATAAGCAACCGAAAAGGGATTTACTTGTGTAACATCAGGTCCTTTGTCAGGTTCTGCACCAAGCGATAGAGCTTTCTCCTCCCGAATTCTAGCCAGAGCAGCCTCTTTTTCTGCAGCTTCACGTGCTGCTCTCTCTCGAGCTTCTTCTTCCTCCTTTCGTTTCCTCTCTGCTTCAGCAGCTTCCCTCTCTAGACGCTCTTGCTCTTCTATCCTTTGCCGTTCCCTGGCCTAAAATGAGAAACAGGGGAGATGAGAACAAAGAAAAATAGAAAAAGGAAAAATCAATGAAAGCCATCAACCAAATATGCATAAGCTTTAGCCAACGAAAAGAAAATCAAAAGAAATATCATATCAGGTGTATACTTCAACAGAAAAAGTAAAGAAATTCCAGTTAAAAAGTAACATACTTGATCAGCTTCAAGTGCTGCTCTGTATGCAGCATCTTGTTCCTCCCTCAAACGCATGTTGTTGCTTCTTTCCTCTGCTTCAATCCTTGCTGCAACGAGGACAGGTGCACTTTCTTCAAGCACTCTCTGTAGTGTCACAAGCATTTCTTCAGGAGATTTTTGACCCTCAACCTGCAGAGCAAGACATGCAATGATCTTATCATCTAGACGACACCACAACTATACAGTCTGAAATCAATTTTCTTACAAAGAGGGTTTTGAGTTTATTAGCCCTCAGCAACCAGTAAAGTAAAACATCCAATGCCCAAGAGGTGGCCACAGAACCAACTGTTTCAATTCTGCTGGTTTCTAGCTGGTTCAGACCACCTCCAATAAGAGTTTTGTTCCTGAAAAAATTTTGGAACCAGGCTATTCCAGCCAGTTGAGGTGGAGGGAAAAGCGCAAATTCCTATTGGGGAGGACCTGGGACCAGAACTGGCTGATGTCCACCTCTACGATGACCTTATTAATATAGTTATGCTAATTTTTCTGAACTGCACAGGCAATTACATACAAGAAAAGTGCAACTTATTGAAAGGTATAGGCCTAATCAACAGTACTACTATGATTGCAATACATGCTCAAAAAGCCTTATTAATAAATGAATACCTGAAGTTTAGGATAAAATAAATTTTCACAATAAATATATGTGTGCTTCCCTACACAACGAAATTACCAAAAGAAAAATCTCCAGAGAAGCAAGAAAATAAGAATTTCACCAACAAGGTCAACATTCCAAAGGATTAAACATTCAATGATATTGAGGTTTGCATACAAAGTAATCAAGTCTCAAATGGTAGATCTCTTTCTCATTGAAAATAGCAAAATTAACACCACTGGCTGTTTTGCACAGAGATACAGGTGATTGCTGGAAAGAATATTTGCATCAAACATACTCCAATGAGCAAAACAGCACAGAATATTCCACCACTTCTACCTGCACTTCACTTGTACTTAGGTAAGATTCCAAATTCAGAGCAATGCCTAGTGTACCCTCTTCAAACTCTACTTAATTCCCCTGCCATTATTTCATCAAGACCATGAAAATGAGCAATATCATCACCTACTTGAAGTACAGTACTGGTACCTCTATCAGCGCAATACTAAAACTCTCTTAAACAAGAGAGAGACCATAAAATGATTCTCCGATGAAAACAGAACTTGTGGTTCCATTTGTAATAAGAAATAATTCTTAACTGACATCACTAGGATTTGTATTTGCTTCTCCATGCTAAATATGGGTTAAAGCATGTCAAGCATATTTCTATTATTTTTCTACTAAGTTTTCATTCAAAACTAGCAATCTAGTCAATTAGCACAAGAAAGAGACTATCCAACAACTTTGACTAATTGTATATAGAAATTCCTCAAACAAAATATAATGACAAATAAGACATGGGGGGAAAGATAAAAGACAAAAAAAGCAAAATGAAGAAGAGAGTGAATGCTAGCCACGTTTTAGTTTGCATATTTTACCCTGAAACTGACAACCTCTGAAGGCTATAGTTCAACCAGGTAACTTGAGAACAAAGAGAAAGCACCCCTCTGCTAGCATCTAGGCTTCACAATAATTTCACATCAAGGATCAACCAATTATTTAATTTTCATAAACCATGCCTTCCCCTAATCCATCAACTTAACATGAGGAACCATCAAGAATTACAAATATACTGAAGAATCACTTCAAAATCATTCTTTCTACAATGCTTGTTCAGTCTCAAACCACTATTCTGTTCAAAACTCTGTCACAACAGAGAAACCTTCAGCAACTATCAGATTGCGAAAAATCAAACTGAAAACAAATTCTTCTTCTGATGGAAAAAGCCAAATTCCCTACCTACTACTCGCTTATCATGTTCATGTAATCATGTAACAAAGCAGCATTCATAAAAATCAAACTTCAAGTATATGCTCTGCCACCATCTTCACTCCCAAGTAGATATACTATCTACATTCTGGAATTCATCTCTATGTGAAACTTGAGTGAATTTAGAAGTGATGTCAAAACGCTAACATACAATGACCACAGACTACTCAGTTATCGACTTAACCTCCAGATTTCTCCTACAATCAAATAAGATTGTATTCGCCCACTTTTTTAACTTCTATAGACCGAAGGAAAGGCAAGCAATTCTATACTATATACAGCATATGTCTACCGATCAAGCATTTAAAAAACTTTTTTAGCACTATTGGATTAGTTAAGTCACAAGAGAAAAGAAATGAAAACTTATGATTGTCGCACTATGAATTACAAACACAAGATTCTCATTCTGTGAAAGATCCCAGAGCCTCGAACATCAAATCAAAAAGCCTAAGTAAGACAAAAATCAGAGTGAAAATTGAACTTATAATAATCAAAAATCTCATTATAATTCCACAGTCCAAATAGAGGATAAAAATCCCAGTATAGTCCTCACCTGTTGAAGTAACGCGATCCTTTGATTTGTGGCGGGCATGACTACGGCACAAAACGGATATCTGGAAGCCTTAAGGCTGTTACTCATCTTAAATCCTTCGCTAGCCCTAATGCTCCCTCCCCAGGCCACGAAGTTCTCATTCACAAACGCGGAGAAAACATCTGAACACAGAGTCCTCTCACAAAACATAGGCGTATCCGGGTGATCTGGTGAATGCAAGTACACAAATAACAACTTGTAAGCATTCCTCGACCTTTGCAGAGCATCCATGAACCCTTCAGTTACAAAATTCGGCCTTCTAGAACCATACTCTCTCTCAAACACCGATACAAACTCCATCGCCTCTCTAGCAGCGGCAGATACCGAAACAAGTCGGGTTGAAGATTCCCCATTCCGCCCGGCGCTTGACCCCAGCCCGACCATTCCAAGAGAATAAGACAAAATACCACCAGCAGCCCATAAACCAAGTCCAACAGCACCAGATATTAGCCCTAAACTGCCTGAAATCACAGAAAAAGGTAAGGTAATAAGTTTCCAGGCTAAACCAGGGGCCGCTGCGGCTACAGCTCCAGCACCAGAATCGGAACGGTCAAATGCATCACGAGAGGCTGAATTCAAGGTTTCCACAGCGGAACTTCCAGTGTCGGTGGCAGAAGCTGTAGTGGTGGAGACGGCGTTACTATCGTTTTCATTATTGTTGTTATTGGAGGTAAAGGCTGAGATCGCGAGTTCCAGGTCCCAGCCATGAGCTTGGAGAATCTCTGTGCACAAATCGGGATCTTCGAGGCCTGTGATCGCTTGAAAATACGCCAATTTATCGGCTACATCAACCATTATATCGCAAATTCTTACGGTTCCTCTCAATTGAGAACGGAGGCAGTTCTTTCTATTTTTGTTTTCTTCAAGCTTTATCTGAAAACGGACTAGAATGTTCTTCGAGTTGAGACTTTGGAGGTTTATGGTTATGGACGGGGAAGAAAGGAAGACAATCGGTCTCGATACTTCATATAGTGTTGCGACGCGATACCGGAAAAGGGCGTGGTTGAGTTTAGAAATTACGGACTGCCATTGTGGTGCAATAAGTGAAAATCTGAAAATGACAGGCCAAAAGTTGGATGGTTTCTTGATTATCTCATTTCTGTTAAAGGAGAAAGAACGGCTATTGTGTAACCGTCCCGAAACGGCGTCATTTTACCTCTCTAAACGACGACGTTGCGAAAGGCAATAACTAGATAACGTCAACAAGTTCCAACGTTATGGGCTTTCTTGGTTACTGTTGCTGATGATGATACAGTCAGTGCCATACCTGTAGGCCCCGCAACATGGACGGTCCTGATGAACTCAAACGAACTGGAGGCTACCTGGTCAAAAGGCCTTAAGCATCAAAGTCAACCGGAAATACATTTGAAGCTGAGCTGATTACGGAAATGAAAAATCACAATTAATTCATAATTACCAGAATCAAATTTCTTCCTCAACTTGTTAAGGATTTGGCTAATAATAATGTTACGCTAAATCATACAAGATTTACAAGCTTTGATTATACAACAGTCATCAACTCTACTTCATCTCCTCTATCAAAACTTTCTGTGTCTCGGAATTATTCTTCATTCTTGTAGAATGCTTATCATTTCTGTACTCCATGACTCTCTTCTTCTCTGCCTCTACAATGGCAGCTAAGGAAGACCAAGCTTCCCCCGGCTGCTCATGCACCCAACATATTATGAAATAAATTTTCCTCTCAGCAAGCTTCAGCTTGTTTTTGATTTCCGACTTTCTGGATTTCTCGCTTTTCAACTCCCTTCCCCCAGACTGAATCAGTCTTTGCAAATCGCAGAGTGCACAGATTAAAGCAGAACTCCCAAGTGACAGTAGGGTTATCACATCACTAATAAGAGCTAGTCCAAATTGTAAACCCCCCATATGCTTGTAATCTGGAGAGCAAGTTTTTTCCAAGCAGAAAGACAGAGCTTCTCCAACTGTTTCTGGCTGCCCACCTTGACCTAAGACAGAAGAGACGCTCAATGCCACCACTGATGATCCTATGGCATCTGATTGCCAATCACCATTGTAAAGACGTAATGTGAAGCAGTAGCTATATATAATATCAACCAAGTGAACAGCTAAAAGTGGTGATGGTTCTGTAGATAGAAGTTTTTTAACAGGGGTCAATGGGACTTCAAGGCCAGGAGGAATTTCTCCTGACTGCTCTCCATCATCTTGAGGTGCCAGAGATGCTTCCTGCTCAACAAGTGGTCGGATAAGTAGAGTCCCTTCCTTACTGAGAGAAATTTTTCTGGCAGAAGGCTTCAACCACCATGGTTCCCAAGGCTCAATCAACTTGCTAAGTTCTCCAGATGCCAGAGCTCTTTGGAACTGCTTCTTCTCTTCTACAGATAAGTCATCAAAACTGATTGAACCTCCTGAAATAACAGGGGAAAAAAGTCTATTAGTTTCTTGCCAATAGCATTCAATCCAGAGTGCAAACCCTGCAAAGATAGACCAGCTACTCTTAACATTCAACTAATCCAAAGATCAGGAATTTTCTTCTTTTTTTTTTTTTTTTTTTTTTTCCTGAAAATAACAGTGGGAAAAAGTCTAATTAGTTTCTTGCCAATAGCATTCAATCCAGAGTGCAAACCCTGCAAAGATAGACCAGCTACTCTTAACATTCAACTAATCCAAAGATTTCAGGGAATTTTCTTCTTTTTTTTTTTTTTTTTTTTTTTTATCTTCTCAGTTTTTTTTTTTTTTTTTTTTTTTATCTTCTAAGAGAAAATCAAAATGGTGGAGTGATAGGCATGCAAAGGCATTTGAAAGGTAGCATTTAAAAGAACAAGAACAAGAACAAGAACAAGAAGAAGAAAACAAGACAAGAAATACACAAGTAAGATGAAATAGAGGAATATACCTGACAAAACCTTTTGAATGGTCTCCTCAGATAGAAGAAAATCTGTCAACAAGAGAACAATCCAGTAAGCACACCTTTCACAGAATTAGTAACTCAACTGATGATGACATGTAAAAATGCTGCAATAACGACATAAAATGTTGCAGTAACGACATAAGATGCTGCAATGGTAATAAATCATTTTACAGTTGAGTTAATACAAGGATCACAAAATCAGCAGCAGAAATAAAAAGTTCTACCTCATGTTTTATATTTCAGTGATTCAGTGACAAGTAGCCAAAGTGTAGATTGCAAACAGAGATGAAGACAGGAACAAATCATCCACTCACATGCTAATATAAACAAATGCAAGCAGCTTTAGCCACCCTTGTGCTTAAGCAATTCTCAGACCAATTATAAACTTCGATATCTAACCAAACAGATGCTCATCATATGCTATTGCTATCGTTGGTCTGAAATCAGCTGAAAACCTGAGACTAACCTATATTATGCTTACATCTAAGTTGTATCTTATTCTTACATCTAAGTTGTAACTGAAGATTTTGCAATAGAAGGGTTCCTCAAGGGTAAGCAGACATCATTAAAGTGAACTTGCAAGTGACATAGCAGAATTAAAAAAAGAGAGACACACCCACCATCCTCGTCCATGCCGTCCATCTCTTCTTCCTCCGAATGTCGTTTCAATATTTCAAGCATTTTTTGCTTAGTTTCATCATTAGGTTGCATTTGTCTAAGCTCCTCCACAACATTCTCTCGCATGAACGATTCCGTACACCGAATACTATGAGACTGTACAACAAAAACCAATATAAGAAACAAAGGAATGCCAATAAACAAACAAAAATATAAGCTCCTCCGAATGATTGTTTATATAGCATGCCTTATAGCACTGAAGCGAACAGTATCGAGAATTGCAGCGAGGGCAAGTATACTGTGAAAATTGCTTCTGGCACCTGCACAATTGAAAAGAGAACATAAGATAAAAGAGTGCAGCCAAAAAAAAAAAAAAAACACTTTGAAATTAAAAAAAAAAACACTTTGAATTGAATAAGGAGAGAAGAAACTTACCACGTGACAGAATAATCCGCATTCTACCAAAAAAAAAAAAAAACACTTTGAAATTGAATAAGGAGAAGAAGAACTTACACGTGACAGATAATCCGATTAGGAGGGTCCAGAGGAGAAGGATTCGAAGGTTTCTCAGAAGTGAGGATTGTGTTCATCTCTGCCATGTTACTAGAATCCAAGCAAAACGACAGAAACAGCAGTTGCCGTTAGAGCTTTCGGATTTTGGATTTGGGTTTCCTAAATCAAACCCGTTAGTAGAAGGCAAAAATCTATATCTTCCTTCAAAGCTTGAAACAGAACTACAGAAATATAGACGGTGGTCGTGAATCGCTCGAAAGTTCTTGGCGGTTCTGGATTTGTGACGGTTAGGGTTAAGAATCAGGGACAAACGAAGCGGAGAGGAAAATAATTAGGAGATCGAACGACGTCGTAATATTCAGAATGAAATGGGCTCCCTCCGTTTTTTCTGTAAATGCCTATAATACTCTTTGTAGTTTACTATAATTAGTTTTTTACCCCCTATTATTTTAAAATTAGTATTTTGACCCCTTAACTAATTTCAGCGTTAAGTATTAAACACAAAAACAACAGATGATTTATATATATATATTTTATTATTATGAATGTGTATATTGTTACATAAATGTCTACAGCCATTTGCAACCCAAACAATGGGTAATCCAAATTGGAAATTTCAAGTTATGGTGTAATAAATATTGTGTAGAAACTATAAAATCAAACCCTTTGAAGAGCCTTCATGGATTCCTCATCTTTGGCTTGACTTTGTAGTTCAATTCTGTTGTTGGGTTGGTTTTCTTTGCACTTGTCTTCACCTGCAACTTTGAATTCAGCTAATTTTGCTAGTTCTTCAACCTCCTTAACAATGGTTTTGGTTCTTGTAGCAACTTCTATTAACAAAGAAGCAAAAGTTGCCACTGGAATAACTTCCATGAGAGGAATTGTGTCCATTGCCTCAGAGTCGACTTCATCAGGTTTCTTGCTTTCAGGTGGACTGAACAAACTAGAAAGGGATGTTATAGCTTCTTGCAGTTCTTCTACTGCACTATTCATTTCTTCAATGAAGAAATCTATATTCGGTGATCTTTTCATTTTCTTTATGGTTTTTGACAGCTCTTTTATCACGTTCGATGAATTAGAACTCACTCTTAAGCAAACACTGTCTAGTTGCTTCTTAATGAACTCAGGTGTCTGTTAAAAGAAAGAAAGATCAGTTTCCTTTGTGCTAAGAGAAAAGAGAAAGAAAGATTTTCAGTATCGTGGATTGATTAACTAATTACCTGATTTTCTGAATCTATGCAGCTTGTAAGAGCCTCAATGCAGCAAGCCCAGCTACGCAAAGAAGCACCAATCTTCGGGTATTGTTTCCATGGATGTTTGAAGCTGAAAAGGCCATGTGCAGGCTCCCATCTAGCAAAATTGGCCTGTCAAGTATAAACCACACAGTTTTAATCAAATTTTTTATGGCATTAGCTATTTGATGGATCAACTCTATTAGTCCCAACGAGCACTTACCATGGAATCTTCACTGGCCTTTGAGCTCAGAACACATTTGTAACCAAACAAGTTCTTGTCAGATGTTTTGTTATTGTCATTACTGTTGAAATACTCAGCTACACAACCTGAAAGTAATTGTAAAATTATCATTCTTTAGTAAAATTGGCAAGTTTTTATTTTCATTTGCATATGGGAAGACAAGCACTTACCATCTAAGGAATTGGCAAGCTTGTCCATATTGCTAGTAAGTTGAGTATAAAGCTCTTGACCAGCCCAAATGGGGCAAATAAGCATGCTTACAAAAATGCACAAGGAAGTGCCAATAATAATGGTAGATAGTCTCTGATAAGCCATTTCAAACAATTGATCAACCCGATACCCAGAAACAGCAACCAGGCAAAAAGTGAGGATAAAGATCATGGCTCCATAATCGAACCACTGTTTAACTGAAGGAATAAATCTAGAGAAGGTAGCTGAAGAAGCTGAAAGAAAAGGCAACAATTATAAAAACTGAGTGAGTTTCAGATAATTAATCTTAATTTGTTAATCCATTAATGATAACAGGTGAGTCATATATAAGCATACCTAGTAAGAAAATTGAAGCTCCAACAATGATAGGCTCAAATTTCTCTCCAGATTGAGTAGCCAACCAATGAACACTAAAAGCAAGCATTCCAGCAAGAGAAGTTCCTAACACTCTATTCAAACTCTTATATATTGTTGCACCTGCAAAAAATATTTTGTCAGGGAAGGTGATTTTACATTTTAGATAGCCTGGTTTTTTACTACTTAGCTAAAGAACGATCAAGTCAGTTAATAACTTACCTACAGTATTTTCAAAGACTACAACAACAGTCATAATTGCCCACATAGCATTTCCTCCAACACCTTCATATAAAGGTCTCATATAGTAAAACAGAGAGACAATACACAGTGCCATCCCTACTTTAAGGCAATGAACTACTTTTCTAGGGTCATTCACCCCAACTTCCTTTGCTTTACCAAAGAATTTCCCAACTTTGAGGACCAGACATTTTAGACCAAGCCAGGCTCTAACTGCAGGCCCTGAAGATTCCTCCACCATAATCTTTGATGACCCATGTTCTAAACTTATCCTCCACTCCACTCCATTTGCTGCCTTCTTCTCCTCAGCCATTTATATTATTTGTTGGGTTTTTCCTTGAAATTGAAACAAGAAAGAAAGGTTATAGATACTGTCAGGACTTGGAAAAAGTAATAGCTTCCAAGCCTCTTCATTCCATGCAAAGTAAGGGAAGTCAATGTTCATATATAAAGGGGAATTTGGTGTGTGTCTCTTGCAGAATTTGTCAATATAAAAACAAAAATAAAGAATAAAGGGAAAAAATCATTGGCAGGGGAATTCTAGATTCTATAGTGTCATTTCTTTATTTATTTTTTTCTTTTATGGTAGGTAAGGTCTGGAGCTCTGGGTTATGTAGGTGACAGCACTCTCTCTTCCATGCCTTTGATATTATAAAGAACTGTTTTTATTATTTTATTACTGATATACGAGAGTTGCTGTGATGTAGTTTTAAAATTACTCCATTTTTATAACCTAAGGCATTGTTTGGTTCAAAATGCTTTATTTCCCGGAAGTATATTTCCTAGAAAATATATATTTCCAAAGAAATTATCTTTCAGAAAGTATATTTGAACACGTTTAATAAACAAATTAACTTCCTAGTCATTTGTCTTATACATTTTAAAATATATACATGTAAGTTGCACGTTCAATCAAGAAGTTAGTGCAATAATCATTATCACATATATGAGGTTGGAACTTTGTATACGATGTCTTGCATGTAGAGAGAGAGAAAGAGGCCATGGTTATTGCTTAGTGACCTAAAACCCAACTTTAAAATATCGGTTTTGACATAATGTAACCTAAAATGAAAAGCTGAATGTCATCTTTAATGAGTGGGATCATTAAAAGCTTTCAGCTTTTTGTCTAGTACTGTTGATGTTTCTTATAAGTGGGTTTTTGATCAGCTTCCTTTCTCATCTGTCTGCATTTTCAAATTTGGATCATATAAGAAAATTAGGGAAGAGCACCATTTCAGTGTAAAACGTTTTAATATCTCATCTTTTTTGTAGGGTAAATTGGTAAGCAACAAAAATAGTACACTAGCGATTCATAATTCTTTATTTTTACATTTAAGAATTAAGATAAAGAGGAACCGGGAAGGATGTTATATCATTTATCACTTATTACTTTCTACATATACTATATTAGAAATGAAAATAAAGAAACGGGAAGGATGTTATGTCATTTATCACTTATTACTTTATACATATATTAAATTAGAAATGAAAATAAAGAAATGAAAAGAGAAGTAACATTGAATATAAGTGAATTCTATCTGGTGTTTCTCTTGTAAGGATCCTCTCGATCATAAGAGTTTTCATCAATTTGATGAGTCAAAGAGAGGGCTTACCCATATTGTATAACCCATCGTGTTATTTTGACTTATTTAACCTCCTAAAAATAAATAAAAAAAACATAAAAACGCTTCTTTTTTTTTATTATTTTACTTCAATATTAAATTATGAATAGTTTTCAATATTAGCCGTATAAATTAGTACATGAATAAGAGAATGACCTAATTTCAAAGGCAATTTGTCAAGCATGCTAATAGATCTTATGAACCGTTCCTATAGTATTCATTGTAAGTGGAGAAAGCAATATGAATCTGAAATTGCAGGATATGATATGTAATATATTAGAATAAGACATGTCTAGCTAGTGGTGTTGCCACGCCTTTTGAGTCTGCAAATTGGTTTAAGTTGTTAATTAACATTCTTATGATATTGTATCTCTTAAAGCTATATATGCTTTCCACCAAATTAGGTCATGATTAGGACAATCCTTGCTAGTTTAATTAATCAAATCTTTATAATTTAGGAGATTAGGGTTTAATTAAGTAGGATTTATAATTGGCTTATGTTGGTTATCACTTGAATGGAAAAACCACTTATCTAGCCAATAGTGTTCTGGAAGCCTTTTCCACTTGAAAGGCACACTCAACTATCAAAAAGCTTGAAGCAAAAGGTGCCCCTCTTGCCCACAAACACAAATGTACCTTTCATATGTCTAATGTTCTAATTATAGTATTGCCATTTGGAGATCAATCAACTTGTGTATATATCTGTTTGGTAAGTATGAGTGCTTCTATTTCTTACCAACTAGAAAATAATATTTATTAGAGAGTATTCTCAAATTATTTAGAAAATAATTTTGAAGGTAGACTTAGGCAGGTGTTTCTATTTCTTATCAATTAGAGTTTGATTTTAACGCAAAGGATAGCTCAGTAACAAAGAGCACCTAAGAAAGTTGAAGGGATCCACGAGATCGTGAGTTCAAGCCACCTCAGTACAAAAATCTCCACGAGCCAGCTCCAATTCCTCTCGTTATATGGATCATTAAATGAATATGAGCCTGAATACCTCGTAGATGAACAAAAATTGGAAGAAGAGTATATATTTAGAATTGACAAGGAAAGAGATTTAGCCTCAATGCATAAAAATTGGGTGGGAAATATTTCTCACCAAATGTATATTATTTTTTATTTATAGTAATAAGGCAATATCATGGTTAATTTTTATGTATTTTATTAAATTTACCTATCTAGTCTACACCAAACCTAAAAGATTGGTATTTTCCTAAAAATAAAAAATAAAAAAAAAAAACTAAAAGATTGGTAAATAAGAAAAAATTATATTTTTTTATGGTTGGCTTCACATACGTGGCATTTCCTCTCTAATCCAAGCACCATTGCAGCTTGGATTTTTCTTCACACGTCAATGAATATCATTTTCTTTAACTGCCAATGCCATGGAATCATTTAACTCATGCTGATCGGTGATTAATTGATTATTATTTGAAGGCCGTGTATAATACTTTATATTAGAAATTAGTGGGTAGAACTTATTATTTCATCCCAAATTATTAATTTAGATACTATCACCAAAAAAAGTGATTTGGATAAAAAGTAAATCCTGGAGACTCTATTAAATTAGAATCGGTTAGAAAGATGGAAAGCTCGAGCCCTATTGATTATAAGAATTTTCACCTGTTTTCCCGTCAATCAGGACCAAATCCATCTATAACCCTTCCTTTTGCCATCGATGAGGGAGTTGATACCCTTAAAGGTATAATAAATAGACCATTAACTACTTGAGCAATTATAATTCTAATGAATCAGAAAGTATAAAAAAGTAGTGACCATTTGCTGAGCAAATCCAAAGTTCCAAATTAAGGTTTCATTGAAAAGATGAAATTTTGAAATAGAACGATATTGTTCTCTTCATACTTTATGCACAGAATGATGTTTTCTTGTCACCTAAGGTAAGCAGCAAAAAGAATACAAAAGTCTGGCAACTATAATCATAATGTTAAAAGTTAAAAAAGCATTCAAGGTGAAGCAACAAAAGGACAGCAAAAGATAATATTTGATCAGTGCATGGCAGGAGAGAGCAAATTACTATTATTATACTAGTGAAACAACAATAGATGGCTGCAAAACAAATCGGTGGTTAGCCTATGACTAGCAAGTTTCTAAGCTTCAGACACTATAAACAAGTTATGGCAGGAGCAACCTGAGAAAACTAAAAAGCACAAACAAATTAATATGCTTTCCTAGTGTTCGTTTCAGTCATATGCAAATCAGATATAAAATACACCAAACTCGCCAGGATCAAATAACGGACAAGGGCGCATATCATGTCTTGCACAGGGCAAACTCTATAACTAAGTAGTCAATGGTAACATGTAATGAGTTGCCATTCATTCCTTTTGAACTATTTTCTATCTACCAACTGTATTCACATTTCATTTCTTTCCATTTCCAAGGTAGTCAAAATGGAACGGAGATCCTCCTTTTCTCACTTCAGTCTTTCTCAGCTGTTACAAGGACACCAATCACTGCAGTACCTCGAGATGTGCGGATGCTCAAGGTGTTCTAGAAAGAAGTACTTATTTAGGAGGTCTCGTTCATTGGAGTGCCTCCGCCACACCAATAGAACATGGTAATGCAGGTTGCTGATAATTGTTTAAAAGAGGAACCCTGCCATTCATAACATTACTAGGCTGATTTGTCGAGTCGATCCCACTTGTTGATGTTAGTTGTAGAAGCTGGACAAGGGACCAAAGTATGTCTATCCTTGTTATGTTTGTGTTTGCCTGCCATATATCGTAATATCAGCTTTCTTAGCATTCTATATATATATTACGTCATTCTTGTATTATACCCAAAAAAGAAAGTTAAAGATCTAATGCTGCTTTGCATACCTCAACAATGAAGCGCGCCCATATTTTATCCTCTCGAGTTTCCATTAATCCCTTCAATATATTCAAACCAAAGCCCCTAATTACATCTGCTATCTCGAGAAAGAATCCCCGATCCTCGCAAAGCATCTGCAACAGAATAGATAAAATGTGTTCAGTGAGTTCAGATGCTGAAGTTTGCTATGAGATTATCATGAGACACACTGTCTTATCTCTTCATCTTGCATACCTCTATACGCATTAGGCCAGGAGGGCTGAGATCTTCAACTATGATAGGGCAAACCATTGATTGATCTCCAACTTCCAGGGCCCATGTAGCACCTCCACCACTTGTGCTGTTGTGTTTAGGAACTGTTTTGTTCTCTTCACTGATAAGCTATGAAAGTGCAGTTTTACTTGTATCAGTCAATTATATCACCAAAAACCAATATATCCTATCTGCATGCAATAGATAAACAAATCAACCATTTACCTTTGGATCATCAGCTTGTTTAAGCTTGTCTGCATATTTTGTCACACTTTGCAAGAAAAGCATGTACTTAATGGTGCGATCCAACAAAGCATCAATGCTACACTGTTACAAAAACCAAATGAATATACATTAGCAATTTACAATATGTTATGCTATAAATAACAGGGTACACTTCCTTCGCGGATTATCTCCGTCAGGATTGCATACCTTTCCACCGTCAGGGATTATCCCTTTCAACTCTTTCATGCGATCTTGGATCTGCTGACGATCTTTTGGCCTTGGTCTAGTACTTTCCCCAGGTCTGGCTCGTTTCCTGGTGGCCTTTGTAGGTTCCTCAGGCTTCTTAGATTTTCCTAGAGCAGTACCTCCATCTTCGATGATATAGCCATCATCAATCCATAGACCTGCTTGTGATTTTGGGAACTCCTCTCTTTTAGATAGAAGATTGCTTGCCTTGTCTTTATGATATGCTGGCTGAATTGTCATGCTGCCACTAGAGCAAGAAAAACCCCCCAGCTGAACTTGACTGAGCAATGAACTATCCAATCTTCTTCTCTTGGCAGTTGAAAACTGATCATCAATGCTAGGATTGGTAATGTAACTAGAATTATTACTTCCATTTAGAAGCTTTTCAATTCCTAATTCTGAAAACAACCCTTTTCGTGGCCCAACTGCAGAATTGTCATCCAACTCTGAGACACATTCTGAACCACAAGTGCTAGTAGCCAAGTGACCAACACTCACTGTTGGTTTCATCATATTTTCTTGGCTATCGCCAGCTTCTCCTTTCCCATATTCCAATCCCAAACCTTCAAACAGATCATTGCCAGCATCATTCACAATTACAGATTTCTGTTCTCCACCACAAACATATGCATCAGTGGTGGAACTTTGCATTGAATTAGCTGTTTGTGCGAATGGAATGTCAAGTAAATCATCTCCAATCAGGTCAGATGACACGGAAGCTACTCCTGCTGATTGTGAGAAATTCTCTTTTACTGTGGCTGCCATTTTGCTGATGCCATGATCTGGTGGATAAGCAAACCACTCAAAAATATTATCCAGTATGAAACAGTTAGAAATATCCGTAGCAAACTCATCCAACTTAAACTCTTCTGGGAATCTCTGTAAGTTTGTTTCTCTTTCTGGAAATCCACTTTCATTTGCATGATATGATGAAGCAGAATGCCAATCGCTGATTGATCTTCCGGAATTTTGTTGACCACTCCTTTCCACATTAACCAATCCCCCTGATCTATACAATGAAGTAACAGTTGAGTCACCTTGATAATCTTGTTTTGTGGGGACACAAAAAACTGGAGTATCTTCTTTCGTAGAGAGCACATATGAAGAATCTGGGACCCCTATTTCAGATGGCAACTGCGACTCCAATGAAGTTATTATAGAACCCCCATTAAAAGGGGTTTTAGCAGCTGACTTCTCTACAGAGAAGGCAGATTGTGAAGACGCCTTCTGGAACTGAGTAGTAGGATTACTGGATAGTATCACTTGAGCTTCAGTATAAGCTGTCTGCAATTGGTTAGTAAGAGGAGATGAGTCCAAATATAAAGGGTTGATCTTTTCTTGTTGAAAATCGGAAGCGAAACCAGAGGATTGAGTGAGATTCATTGAAGTATAAGCCATTTCCATCAGATCGCTGCTGCTCCCACCATGCATAGGTGTGATATTAGCATTACAGAAGGATGCAAACCACTCATTAAGATCACAATTTTTATAGTTGAAAGGTGAAGATGGGCTGCCTTGAGAAGCAAGGACATCAATATTGTCCATCTCACTGAACGATCTTTTTGTTTGATCCAGAAACTCTGGTGTCTGCAAATTCTGCAGTAGTAATAGCATCAGCATCATTAACCAGTCATTGATGCCTTGATATATGTGACGGAATCTATTACACAACCTATTTCATGTAACAGGCATGCACAAACAGAATTTCATGTAAATCAGACATCAATTTAGGATCTGTTAGTTTCCGAATTTGACACCAACTGCAATGACTGATGGATTAAAAAGACTGGAAATCCTTTCTCCGAAAGAGTACATTGATGGAAAAATGACGCCACCAAAATTACCAAAATGCATATGGTTGCATAACAATGAACATTGTTTGATATGCTTTCAGTATCCTAACCTTTTTGGTTGATCCAAATTGTATCACACCTCGAGATTCCACTGGAATTACTGCAATTGTCTGCAAATGGGATTTAACAGTGGGTAAGAACGGCCATATATATACATTCTTGCACAAAGATACTAACATAGATTCAGAAGACTGTAGATTTGAAGAAGCTTTAAATGTGCTACCTTTAGTCCTGAGGAAACTTGTTGTTGAATCTCATAATCATCCTGCAATTTTGAGAAGACAAATCTTCAAATAAGTGGATAATGGAAACAATACGAAAATTTCACAAAAACACCCACTGAAAACTAGTTGCATGTTAGATATTGACTAAAGAAGAAAGAAGAGAAGCACCTGGCACATAGCTTGGCCTCCAATAGAACTGGCAGAACTACTTTCTCCATTGTTAGCATCTGAGAAAATCCATTGGCACTTCCCAGACAAAGCAGCTCGGCCAACAAGTCTGAATTATTAGAAAATGAAAAAAAAAAAAAAAAAAGTTTAGCCCTGTAAATAATTTTTCTAGTACTTTAAACTAAATAAGTTGTTAATATTTATGGTCTTAAGAATGAAATTTGGAAATTTATTAACAAAAATTTACCCAAAAATTTTGCTGCTGAACTAAAACGTTATGCAAAATTTGAGCTTACCCTTCACCCAGCATATGGGCCTGAAGAAGCATATTGTTAACAGCTGCCCCCATTTCTTCTTCATAATAGGCATCTTCCATTGTCAACAACCTGGTGCAAAGTAAGCGAAAGACCATTATATTACACAGCCAAAAACAAATGTCAAACCAGAAACCATTTGCTACTTTCAAAATTAGGGGTCAGATAGTAAAAGTTGAAAGTTTTATCCTCAAAAAGAAACCTGATCTCAGATAGAACCTCTAATAATGTAGGCACGATTTGCAGTGAACTGATATCAAATTGTAACATTAAAGGAAAGACCTTTACTTGAGAATTTACTTACTGAAATCCGGATATCCTCCTTAATTAATATGTCATTATTTACCAACTTTTAAGCTTTCATTTTTTGTTTCACTTCTTCAAAGGAAAAAGAAAACAAGTTTAGATCAAGATATGGTGGTCAAGGATTGGTATACAAGGTCAAATTTGCATACAGCATGAACTCGAAAAAAAAAAAAAAAAAAAAAAAAAAAACAAAAAAAAAAAAAAAAAAAAAAAAAAAAAAACCAAAAGAGAGAGAGAGATAGAAGAAAAAAAAAAAATTGCCAACAAGGACAGGGACAAAAGCTTCTAACTTGAAAGAAGCAAAAAAAGATAAAGCCCCTCCAAAAAAAACTAAAAGTAAAACAAAAAAGAAAAGTAAATATGTAAGGCAAAACAAAAGAGAAAAAAAAAAAAAAAAAAAAAAAACAAAGAGAGAGAGAGTAGAAGAAAAAAAAAAATTGCAACAAGGACAGGGAGCCAAAAGCTTCTAACTTGAAAGAAGCAAACAAAAGATAAAGCCCCTCCAAAAAAAATTAAAAGTAAAGACAAAAAAGAAAGTAAATATGTAAGTGAAAAACAAAAGAGAAACAAACTTACATAGAATTTCTTTGATCCAAGCGCCAGAAAACTCCATAAGACCAGCCATTACTACAACAAAGACTCTTAAGCGTCTCCTTCAAAACCGAACCCATTTTAGTTTCACTACTCAATCCACACTTCACGATCCAAAACTCATTACTCAACACCCCATTATTCAACGATTCCAGTCCGAGTCAACCAGCTCAAGCTCTACTGTTGTGTCTGAAAAAGAAAAGTGTTGTCTGGCAACAGAAAACACTGAACCCAAAAACAAGAAAAGAGCAAAGCCTGTGAAGGGTTTCAACTTAGAAGTGCCAAACAAAGCTGCTATTGTAAAACAGATTGTTTTCTTGCAAGAAAAATATATGGAAGCTGAAAGTGGTCGGTGAGAGAGTGAGTCGAGTAAGGGATTAAAAGCAAATGGGTTTATATATATAAATAAAGAGAGAAAGCCAGAAAGGGTGGTTTTTAGTTCTGTGATTTTGTCTCTCTCTTTTTCTTTATCTTTATCTTTCCCCTATATGTATAGGAGTGTGTATCTTTCTTTCTTTCTTTCTCTTACAGGACAAAGAATGGAGATCTTTGAGCATTTACTGTGCTAATATCTTTGTCATTGTTTTTCCCGGCGACCGGTCCCATCCGGATCTTGGTTTGCTATTTTCTTTGTCGCTTTACCGGCTGTAGCCGGTTATGGTAGTTGATTTTCTCTTTTGGTTAGTCTCCAAAATCTCGCGAGATCAAAGTTGTATTAAAATGAGATTAAAGTGTAGGTACAATTAAAAATGATGCACAAATAATGTATTGGATCTATTTAAAGAAATTGTGACGATTGATTAGATGGTAAGCCATCTCAACTCTATAAAATCGAAAATAAAAATCCGATTTTTAGTAACTTTACATTATAGGGAGGGTAAAAAATTTTTACTTTATACTGTTTGAAAGGTTTCCACATCCTAAAAAAATGTATTCAATCTGTTTAAAGAAATTGTGACGATTGATTGGTTGTGTTTATTAGGTTTTGGATTTCCCTATGTATGATTTAATTTTGGGAAATTTATGTAGAGAATTTTGTTAATCAATGAGGATTTATATGTAATAAAATTAAGATTCTATCGTATTTATTTCTTTAATTTTTAACTTTACTTTTATTTCTAGTATTTAATTTCAAATAAATTTTAATGTTAATGACAATTTAATATAAAATACTATAATAAAACTAAATATATTCTCCATCTTAATTTAGAATGTGAATTTTGAAATAAGTGTTCAAAATAAATAAAATATATACATTATAAATTATTGGATAAAAATAATTTATCTTAAACGATATGATCATCAATCAAATTGAAACAAACATGATGTTGACAGAACATCAAAACTCACTGACTATTCAAATAAAATATTTACTTTTTTAGAATGTTAAATATTTAAAAAGAAAATATAAATTACCATTATATAAATTTCAACTTTTATGGATTTTTTAATATGGTGGGATAGCTATAAAGCATGGATTAGTTGGATTAGTAATATGCTTTTTATGATATATTTTATTAGTAGTAGAAATATGACTATTGGTGGAAAAAAGAGCCATTTAATTAATTAATTAATTAATTTGATGGTATTAATTAATTAATTTGCATACCATCAAGAGAAGGTCACCATCCAAAGGCCAAAGAGTATAAAATCTCACGTCCTTATCTAAATTAATTCATAGCAGCCCAACCATTCATGATTTTTGCGGCTAATAAATTATGCAAATCATGATTTTTTCTTTTTCTTCAAAAAAAAAAATATTTTGTTCGTTTCACACATATTTATAGAAATTAGAATGATATTCGTAAATTCCTGATCCCAGTGAGATTGCGTTCGACAACAGTTTTTTAAAATAGTTTTTATAGTTTTGAGTTAAAACGTTAAACGATATAGCATTTGAATTAGCCTTTAGAGGTTAAGGTAGCGTTCAGTAATATAGCATTTGAATTAGCCTTTAGAGGTTAAGGTAGCGTTTTATAAAAAGTTAACCTATGTAACGTTTAGGTTTTAGCGTTTCATGAAAAACTACTGAAACATCTAACAGTTAAATGCTATTAAAACAGCTAACAGCTACCAAAACAACTAATTTTGCCGAACAGAATCTAAATTCGCATAGAATGTTAATTGTAGTTAGTTATTACTCTAACAAATAATTAATTGATTAGGAAACAAAATTACACTTAAAAAAAAAAAAAAAATTGTATTGACTATCAACGGATGTTAAGATAAATAGTTCGATAATTTTTTCTATTAAGTGAAGTTATATATTCCGTTCTGATGGATCGAGTAAATACTGCTTGAGAGTGGATAATAAATTAACGCAGAGAAAGTAGGATTTAATCATAAATAAAAAGAAAAAAAATTTGTTCTTTGTGGACTCTCTCTTACTAATATTCTATAATTATGTTCTTACACTTTCAACTGCCTAAGAGTTTGTTCCTAATTGTCATAAAAGTATTATAAATTCATCAACCATAGCAATATTGTGGAGGTCTATATGGTGTTCTTTCTATATACAAATTCAAATTTATTAAATTCAAATGAAATCAATTGATCCTAATCTAGATAATAATGAGACTTGTAAGATAAGTGATTTTGAAATAATTTAAGATAACACATAATGATATCATGATAATTACTTATCTAATTTTCAATTTATATTATATAATTTTATTTTCTTTACTCCATCTTAATTTTTATTTTATTTTCACATATTTTCATCCTTAGAATAGAAATGGTATTCAATTCCGTCAATAGCGATTTTAATTTTAAACTCATAATTTTACGAGTAAGATTCGCATTCATGTATATAAATCTATTTCCGCCGATCCAATTATATGCATCAGTGATTCTAAAAATTGAAAATGAAATAGTAAAACTAAAAGATTGAATTAAACTTAAAGCTTACATTATGTTTTTGTTAGAGCAATCATGAACCCTAAAAAGAAAACCCAAATACTACAATGGTGGTATATATTTTTTCATTCATGCAATGGAAATTTTGCTTTTTGTAGTTACTCTATTTTATGTTCATTTACAATCAAAGCACAACTTTGTTAATATACAATAATATCATCAACATGTAATATTATTATTCCTCAATATTATTTTTTGAATGGTATAATTATTTGTTGTAGACCATTCAAATGAATACAATCTCACATATCAAAAGAAAAAAAAAAAATCCTAATGCCATTGAAATTATGATACTTTTCTTCATAAAATAGGAAGTGCATTATGAAATTTCAAAAGTCAAACCCAATAATAATAATGAATAACATAATATAAATATGAGCTATATTCATTATTATTTTTCTTTAAAAAATTAGCAATTGATTGCCAATGCAATATCACCATATCATAACATTTATATAAGACATGTACATATATAGAAAATTGAAATTTTCTCTTAAAAAAATATTCTTGGCAGAAAAAATTATTCTTCTAAACAATAATATGAATATGGTGCAAATTTTTTAATTCTTGTATCCGCTTTGCAAGATTAAATATGAATATTTTTCAGCATCTGTTTAGAAAGGATCGAATTATATATCGAATTCTATTAGAAAGTAAAAAAAAAAAAGTATAGACTTAATTTTAAAAGAAAAAAAATAAACAGAGCAGTTCAGATTTTATTTTTAAAATTCATATTTTGCCCCATTATTTGAATAAAAGAAGTTTTATCCATTGTATTTTTATTGGATCAGAGTAAATAAGTGAAAAACGGGTAAAATTACCATCTCTAATATAAAATATCAAATACCCAATAAAGCTCAAAAAAAAAAAAAAAGTTTCTTTGAAATATATCCATCATTTAAAATTCATATTTAAAATCATAAATATTAATGGGTGTGGTCCATCATGTATTATTCTACCATCTTTATGTCCGTTAAAATAATATTATTTCTTTCTTTTTCTGTAAGCTTTGAGTGTATTTTAAGCCTCCCAATGGTGATAGTGTGGCACAGAGGTGGTAATAGGACAATTAGCGTTGGAAATAGTGGCGGCGGCGGCTCTCAGCTGGTCATCGGCCACAGAATATTCCGATGTGTAATGGATTGTCTAATAGGATACGTCTGTGGCGGGTCCCACCTGGGGAACTGAAACATTATAAAAGGGCAAAAGTGATGTGTGGTCCCATCTGGCGGGCCTGTGGGGTTTGTAGGGATCATTTTCTGCTACCACCTTCTGCCACTGCCTCCTCTTTCTTTTTTTAATTGGAAAATATTAATACTACTAATTGAAACTTAATTACTTTTTTAAATACGGTTAATCAGTTAATTAATCCACCACTAATTGTAAAGTTTTTTTTTTTTTTTTGCAGTATAAGAAGGTTTAATTGAGTGGACCACTAAAGTAAAAGGTTATATAGTTAGCGTGGTCAAATTGATGTTTTACATAATCCACACCAACTTTGCTTAATCCAATATTATATACAAATCAAATCTCATCATCAAATAATAAATTTTTTAGAAAAATTCTAAACTATACGTATACTTATATATGTTGGAACTGAAATTTAATGTATATTTTAGGAAGTTCATGTCCAACGTGAAAGAGTTTTTATTAAAAAATATAAGACTTAGACAATTCTCCTCGCTTGAAATATATAAAATAAATAATAAGATAGAGATGAGTTCCGGTATATATATCGAATGTTAGCACTTTTGGAACAAGTTCATGTATTTAATAACATTAAAAAAATGTTAAATTATAATGAAAATATAGGTATTACCCATCACTCTCTTTTTTTTTTTTTCCCCGTTCTATATAATATATATCATGCGTCATCATTTCACTTCACTGTGTCTCAACTGTTATTACGGGTCTTCCTTCCACCGCCCAATAGCTTTCTATATATAATAAACCAAAGGGTCTATTAACCTTATATATACATAACACTCCATTTCAACTATTCCCCTAAAACAATAAGAATAAATACAATTTTGACCTACTTTATGCTTAAGCCGGTGAAACTAGTTCAAGAGAGTCAGAATAATATTTGTTTAATCATTTTAATAAACGTGATTTCAAGTTTTGAATCTCTAATTTTGGAGATAAAGTTCACTTAAGAATACATTCTACTTCTTTCTTTCGATCTATTAGAAGTCCTCCAGTAACAGTGCTAAAATAATTTAACAAAGTCATGTAAGAGTGATTAACAAAACATCTTATTTTTAATATTTATGTTAATTGGGTTAAGAGATAAGTTAACGTAAAAGCTTATTCTCCCACTGGAGTATCCTATTCTCATGCTCGTTTCTATGTTTAGGATGTTACCGGTTTGTTTTTCTTAAAAAATAAAATAAAATAAAAAAGAGCTGCATGGCATGGGATATGGAGAATATATATATGGGTCCCCATATAAATTTTCACAGATCTCTCATTCTAGTATGAGAATCTTGACTTTATTTACATTACCATCAACCCTAAATCTCCTCTTTACAGTTTTGTGTCCATGATATGAACTCCACTGCTACTCTATATATCTTATCTTCATATCATCAGCTAAATCCCAACCCTCCATTTCTGAATGTCTGGTCCAACAGTGACCATCATTATTATCATCACTTTTAGGCAATTAAATGCCAAAACACTTAATGGGGAAAACAAAAACATGATTTGTAATAATCCAAAACAGGATTTTTCTCTTTTATAAAACATATTAATTTTCCTGTTCGTTTGTTAGTTAGCATCACAATTATAAGGTCTGGTCTAGGGTTTTACATGCCTTAACAGCCCACACCTTTATTTTCAGTGGGTGGGTGTCACTTACTACAGAGAGGAAAGGAAAGGAAAGGAGAAGAGAAGAGAAGAGAAAGAGAAGACCCACCAAGTGATTGCAGACGCAAAGTTACACTATTATTCTCACCATCGATCACCATCCTTCGTTTTTAGCAAGCAAAGCTTATGATTCTGTCTCCTCAAGACAGCACACGCTTAATCATAGCCGTTGAGGAACTAAGTCAACGGCACATCAATAAAAAGCTTTGCTCAACCTTTTTTTTTTTTTTTTTTTTTTTTTCTGTCTCCTCAGACAGCACACGCTTAATCATACCGCTGAGGGAACTAAGTCAACGGCACATCAATAAAAAGCTTTGCTCAACCTTTTTTCTTTTTTTCTTTTTTTTTTACAACTAAAGGAGATCTTTTTAATGTTATTTAAAAAAATTAAAGAATTATGACATGTTATTAGTTGAGGATTTTTTTTTTTTTTTTTTTTTTTACAACTAAAAGGAGATCTTTTTAATGTTATTTAAAAAAAATTAAAGAATTATGAATGTTAATTAGTGAGGATTTGAATTAAGCAAAATTAACGGCCCCTAAAAATATGATGATTGGCTTTAAACATTTTGTTTTGTTGTTAATTAATATTGTCTTAAGTTTTGTTCTTCATGGGAAAACATGCTTTGCCCTACTATTCTCTCTTTCTACTAACAATATCACATGTGATTGTTTTCCTCAACTTCCCAAGTTTTGACTCCCAATTAAATTGCAATATATATGTGTTCTTGCGTAAAATATTATTCTCGTTTGTAAATCTGGAGTCATTCCAGTTGAAAGGATTTTACCCGAACATCATTTTTGAGCCGAACATTCAAAAATACGTACAAACCTAATTGATCTTAAAAAAAAATTTATATACACACCATAACTATGAGAAAGTGCAAGTAGTGATGATAGCATGCACTTTAGAATTAATCCAAAGAAAAGGTATAAATGTATAGATTGACTTTTTAAAGAAACATTAAAGCAAGGTATACACTGAGTCAAAGTGTGGCCTTACATGAATTGGTATGATTCTAGCTACGTGTAGATGCTCTTCTACGAGAAATAGAATTGCATGCTACAACTTTATTTACTAAAGAGAAAAGTTTTATTTGTTGAATTTAATTTCAAAAATTTACATGCCTTGACTATTAAGTTCTATCTACATAGTGGAGTATCTTCAATAATTGCAAAACATATTTAAACAAAAAAAAAAATAGCCTAAATACTAAACTCTTATTGAAATTACTAATACACGATTAAATAAATAAAATCAGGGTTTTGAGTTATCATTGTTGAAATGTCTTATCTAAATATCATTTTCAATTCGAACTTGGGATTTCTTTTTTAAAAAAAAGGGAAAAGAGGTCTTATTGTCCAAAAGTAATTGATTTAAATTAATAAATAGATTTATTTTCTATTATTGTGTTAATTTATATATATATTGTCACTATGGAGAATACAAAAGAGTGCAAGAGCAAGTAAGAGAAGTATAGTAAATATAAATTAGAGTAGAAGGCATTCTGCGAAGGAGTTGTCCCAGTGAAAAGGAAATAGGGCTTTGTCTCTATACATATCATATTTTTGTCCTCCCCGAAAAAAGCTTGCAGGGGAATCTCACTCCTTTTATTGGTTGGAACCCAAAGCTGACACATCCAATTCACTTGTGCCACATAACCTTTACATTGTCCGATAAAAGCGTAATTTTCTATTTTTTTTTAAACAAATCGATGTAATTTCACTAACCGTACTCGTTTTATACCCTCGAAATAAAGCAGAGCAAATACCCTAAAATAAACGTTACGCTTCCATTACTAGTTATGGGTTGAGCAGAACCATAGGATTCATTTCCAACAATACCAAAAATCAAATTAGGAGCAAATGATTTATGTTTATGTGAAGCAATATATATGTGGGTGAAAGCTGGCAGTGGCTGTGACTCATGAGACCAAAGACAATGGAGAATGTTTTTTCGTTATGGTAGGAAGTGTGCAATATTATTACTATTATTGGATTATGTGTCCAAACAACTGCAGACCACCAACTCCAAAAAATGTCAATTTCAAAGCTAAAATCAACTTTAATTTTTTAAAAAATAAATTAAAATTTTTTTCATGCAAAATTCTTTTGGCACAAAAATGAAGACACTAAGAATGATTAATGCTGGTCATACTTCAGTCTTCCTCGCAAATCAAGGGCTAATAACTTAATTAACAGACAGAATATATTGTGTGTTAGCTGTACTATACTACTATCATGCACATTAAAGTATAAGTAGAAGGAATGTAAAACAGTAAAACAGTAAAAAGAGACCAAAAGCATTTATTAGCAAAAGCGGAAGAGTTTTTAAGGAGCTATAAACCACTAATGAACCAATCATGGCTTTGTTGTAGTCGAACAAGTGGTGCTGCAAAATAGGGCCCACCTTTCTCTCAGGTCCCAGACCTCATGCGGGGTCCACCCTTCAGTGGTAAAAAGTTAAAAAAATATATATAAAAAATAAACAGACAAACGTACTTCCTACTCGTAAAACCATCCACAGAGAATGTCTACTCTCCTCGATACAACCCCTGACCTGACCGGTTCCTATTTTCCTATGTGGTCACTCCTTTGTAAGGTCCTATACAACTACTACTACTAGTTACTACAACTTCAAGTTTTCATTAGCAATTTCTTTTTGTATTTTTCATTGCAATTCTAATTATTTTCCTTTTATATGATATGCTTGATCTAATTTCTATTACAATGTGGATTTAAAAAAAATTAATAATAAAATTGAATATCTTGAAAATTAAATTGAATCAAAGGATTGAATTGTTATGTAATAATCTTTTACCTTATCAAAACCGAAAATAATTCCTAGCGAGTCCTACTTACTGTGCCCATTAAGACACATTCCTCTGGACCATTGGTCCATTTGCAGTTGCTTGGTTGCTACTGCTCGAGAGTCGCAAAAATGATTTTTCCTTAAAATGCCCAGACACGTGGCTAATGACACTGACGTTGATTGACGAGTCCATTTTTTCGAATCACACGGCGGTTATTTTGAGGACGAGATGCCTAGGTGCCGGCGATGTAGGGGACAACTAGCCGGACGGTTCAGATTGAGGGAGGGGCTCGCTGTTGTGGGGACCACTTAAAGATGATGATTTCACTCTCCAATTGTGTATTTGTTTGCCACGTCGTCAATCATGTTGGGTGAAATGATGGCTATGTCAGGTACGATGATGGGAGTTGGCGTCATCAATGATCCCTTTTGTCTTAGACGTGCTTTTATTCTCCCTGGCACATCTGCACGTGTGAATCATATTCCTAAAACTCCAAACAATGGATCATTGCCACTTCACTACATATTTGGGCTTTCTCATTGTTTTATGGGCTTGGAAAATCTAGATTTTTAACTAACCAAGTCTTTGGGCCAAGAATCTTAGTTCTGGTGGGTCCACTCAACATTCCTAATCCTTTTCTCCTTGATTTCTTCTATCTTATCATCTCTGTCCTTTACTTATCATTTTAGCTTTGAGGGAATAAACAATTACAAGTTGTGCAAGTTGGAGAAAATTAAACAGCACATACCAACTTTTTTTTTTCTTTTTTATATATTTTAAAATAAAAAAGAGAAAAATTACCATATAAAACCTTCTAATTATTACCATTTTTTTTTACCTTCCATATTTGTTTGCAGTTTTTCTTTGATCCTTCCAGTAAAAACCCTTTTTTCAATTTTCCCTCTTTTCTTCAAATCTTCATTTTTTTTTCAAAAATCAAATTTCAATAATTATGAAACCAATATATACAAATTTACTACACCATCAAGAACCTTAATTAAGGGTAAATCTCTAGTTTTTTGATTGGTATAGAAATCTCTATTGCCCTTTCTAATGCTTCCAGATATCCTCTACCAATTATTACTAATTAAAGCTATATTTAGCAATTAATATTCAATTTCTATAAATTAGGAAGTAACATTTAAATTTTTTTTTTTCTTTTTTAGGTAAAACAGAGCTTAGGTTACTCAAAAGGACTAAATTAAAATATAAAAAGACTGGCTTTTCTGTAATGTAATCTTCAATTCACTTTGTATCTACCAATCATTTGTTAACCCATTACAGAGTAATGTCACCTGGTATCTTTCATTGAGATGGAACTTTTTACCCTCGAGAGACACTGAAATCACACTGCGCCTAACATAAACAACTCTTGTATTCATTATCCATTGTAGGGACAAAACCGTCACTTCAAAGTTTGGTCTTTGGAGTTCCCATCTCTCCTTCACCACCTCTCTCTCCTACAAGTGACAGCTGAAGCTTAACTCTGAATCACCAAACAAAACCTAAATGGAGAGCTTCACGCACATTTTCTTTCCTTCAGATTAGCTAATAACATGGATTCTTGTTCTATGACATCGCTTAATGCAAGTAGGCTTTTTTTAAAGGTGAGATTTTTTTGGGGACTTGCCCATTGATTTCTGTTATCAGGATCAGTTTTTTAAGATTTAGGATGGGTCACAGTTTTGTATAGCTTAGCATTTTGGGAAATTATGGTTTTGAATCTGGTTCTTGATGGTGAAATTTTGTGATTCTTGCTTTCTGTTAGCCGTTTCGTTGCCAGGAACAGAGGAATGGAATAGTTTGCTGTGTTTCACAGAAGACATGACAAAAAAAATTTTAACATTTTAACTAATTGTTTCAAGCTCTGTTTTTTGAGTACAAATGGTTTAGTTTAACTGCAATTTTTATGGAACTAATAGAGAATATTTGTCTTCTAGCTTGAAAAAATCAATTCTGTGACCATGTTGATTTTTTTTTTTAATCCAGAAATTTGATTTTATTAGCAGTCGTGTTTGCTAATTTTTACATATTCTGTGACTTATTAGATATCGTTTTTAGTTTTCCTTAATTTCACTGACCTTTTCTTCATTAACTGAATGGGCATTTGGTATTAGATACCAAGACTGGCCTTATGAACTTTTTGTAATTTATTTCCCTGTAATTTGATGATTTTTTTTTTTTTTTTGCAAATAATATAAATTTTCAGGAATTTATTTTACTAATTGTGCAGAATTAGGATATTGGGGGAAATGCAGTTTCCAGCCTTTGAATTTTATGGATTATTCACTGAATCACTAGCTTGTTTGTTTCCCTTGGTTTGATTTTTCATTGTATATCAATTTTTCTATTTGCTGCATTCAGGGAGGGAGCAAATTTTAATGTAAGAAACTAAGAATCATGAATAAATTTATAGATTGAACTACTGGCAGATTTAGCTTGCCTCTACTGCTCTTTGCTTTTTCAAATTTTATAGCAGATTTAGCTTACCTCTACTGTTCTTAAAAAGAATTCAGGCCTTTTACGGCAGTCACTGAGTCATGGCCTATCTCCAGATTTCTCCTTTTTTTGGAATCCATACTTGTTTAGATGATTTGAAGTTGTCCTGTTCTTGAATATATAAATCTCAAACTCGATGTTTATGCATATGCAAATTGATCTTTATTTCTTTTTCAGGTGTCTCAACTTGGATGTTAATTGTTTTAAATGCATGAAGCATGAATTTTGTATTTCTCCTATTCACACATGGACAAAACTGGAGTACCCAAGCCTTATAGACTTGGAGACCAGAGCACTAGTGACATTATTGTACATTTGAGAAACTGTGGAGGAAGACCTGAAGTTTTCTACTCCCACACTTCCATTCTAGTCAGTAAGAGCAAGTTCTTTTCTGACTGGCTCTCTAACCCAGAATCTGGTAAATGTTTTGAGATTCATTGCTCGGAGTTCAATTACGATCATCATGTTGGTTTTTTGAGGTTGCTGTATGTCCCTGCGGAATTGCTTTTAGACTCCTTGGATTCTGTTAAGTCTGCTGTTGGTATACTTGAGGTATCAGTTGCATTTGGTTGTGAAGAAATTACAAAGAGTTGCATCCAGTACCTAGAGGCTGTTCCTTGGGAGGATGAGGAAGAGGAAGAAATCCTGAAAGCAGTCTCAAAACTGGGACCAATAGCTATGCCCATAATAGCCAGGATCCAACCAGTAGATTTAAGCGCTACCAAGAATGTTTTTGTGTCAGCAATTCGTTTTGCCACATCCATTGGCGGCTCATATCCTCCATTTGGTGATGAACTTAAAATTTCTGCCCAGGAACAAGTAGAATATATGTTAGGGGAAGATGAGGAGACAGCATTGGTTACAGCTGATGATGATGTGATATCAGTTGTGAAAGTGGGCCTCTCCAAAATCTTTTCTTCATTTGAGAAACAATTATCCTCCCTGCTTTTGGATTCTGACCTCACATCTGATACAGCGGAGGACAAAGTCCTGCATACTGTATCTGATCTCTTGTGGATGTGTAATATACTTCCCAAGATGGACCTAATGAAGGATTTTATTTCAAAGTGGACTGACATCTCTGGCAAAGTGTTGGAAATAATTGAAGACAATAAACTCGATTCTGTGATGTGGGGTTTAAAAATAAAGCTGATTGAAATGACTGCAAAGGTATTGGAAGCAGTTGGCTACGGAAATGTGATTCTTCCAGCACCATGCCGGGTCCGACTATTAAGAATGTGGCTCCCTTATATAAGGAAGATGAAGCCCCTTTTAGACTTGAAATGCAACAAGGACTCGAGCTTTTCCTACAAGATGGATGAAGATCTGTCCCAGAGTATCGAGGGGGCAATTGTATCATTGATACTAGCATTGCCATCAAATGACCAAGCTGATATTCTTGCAGATTGGATGAAAGCCGACCAGGTTAGATATCCTGACCTGAGCGAAGCTTTTGAGGTTTGGTGTTACCGAACAAAATCAGCAAAGAGAAGGTTGGTGGAAGGCTTAGACAGGGTCGGTGGCACTTCAGCCTTTGATTTATCAATCTGATATTGTAACATTAAATTTTTGAATGGAAGGGACAATTGCTGATCCCATTAATGTATTTTGACATAATCAATGTCTATTTGAAATTTTGATATATTTTCTATATAGCTCTCTGGCATCTGTAAGGGCAATGCTTCTAAAATGCATAATGAAAGCCGGTGCCTAACCTAAAGATAATTGCTGTTGGTGTAGGTTGAAGTTCTTGGGTCATTACCAAAACCATGACATTTTCCAGGCTGTTGATGTTGGTTACGGAGAGTTTGTTCTTGGACTAATATTAATATTTGAAAGAGTGTAAAAAAACAAGCCCACCAACCATTTAATGTCTAAAGAGTATCGGTAGACATTTTCTATTTGTTATTGTATAAAATAGTTAAAAGCATGTTTTGTGTGAGCCATAATTAAAGCTTTTGTATATTTTTATTTTTTGGTCTAATTGAAGTTTTTTAGATTTTATATCTTTTCAAATTACTATTCTTAAATTATGTTATAATAGATTCACAAAATTCTAGAAATATTGAAAAATAAATCTTGTTGATAAAAAAAAAATTGTTGATTTGGGTGATCAAAGGTTTCAATTATAAAAAATCGAATACAAATTCGATTCTTAAGAAATATATTTTTAGACTCCATAACTTGAAGGGATTAATTTTAATTATACCTCTAGTTCTAAAAAATATTAATTTTAATTTTTGATTCTTAATTTGGATATTTAAACCATCTACTGACCCGATTAATTTAATTGAAAAAGAAAGTAAGATAAGCAAGCTTGTAAAATATTGTTAAGCAAGTCTAATCCAATGGGAACCAGCCTTCACAACCAATTGGGTTTCCTTAATCGTCCAGCTAATTCTTTGTCTAATAGTAATAGAGTCGAGCCGTGGCCTTTGTAGTCTCCTTTGAAAGATCTTCTCTTTCTTTCCTCTCTTTCGCATTCTGCAACGTTTACAACCTGAGAAGCGAAACAGAGAGGCCAAATCGCCCAAATCGATCTTTGACTGGGTCACCATCTTTCATCTTTTTTTTCTGGTTGATCCTATTTCTCTTTGAAAATTAAAAAAGTTCGTAGCTTTATTTTATTTATCATCTCATCAAACAGAGAAAGGGAGAATGTACGTGAAAGCTGAGCCACCGACGGATGTCAATAGGAACACCGAATGGTTCACATACCCTGGCGTATGGACTACTTATATTCTAATGGTTTTCATGTCTTGGCTTCTTGTTCTTTCCCTCTTCGGTTGCTCTCCTGGCATGGCATGGACCATTGTCCACCTTTCTCATTTCATTGTGAGGTTTTCTATTCCTTTTATTTTCCCCCTTTGACTTGCACACAGTAAAGTTCCAGAAAATTAGGAACTGGCTTTTTAATTCTTTTGATTTGTTAATTTTCCTTATTCGCTTTGAATCTGTTTGGTTTCTGCTCTCTTGATTGATGGTCCTTTTATTTGCTGCGGATCTGTTTAGCGGTTGGATTAGGATGCTTTAGAACGGAGTATTATTTTTCTTGGGAATAGTTGGTCTGTAAAGTGTATTTAGAGTTTTTTTCTGGAAGTTTTGATGAGCATGGAGTTTGGGCATGCTGGGTTATTTTTTATGTTGCGTTAGTGTTTGAATTTGATGTGAATTAGAAAACAAAAAGATTGATACAAGAACCTCCAAATTGTTATTAGTATCTTTTTGTTTCTGGTTAACAATGAAATTAATTTGTTCAAGAAAGCATTGGAAGTTTCTGGTAAAAAAGAGATGATATGCTCTCTAATCTTGTTCAATTCAAACTACTTTCTTTGATGTATTGCAATTGACCCTAGCTTTTTGTTCAACTAAAGTTTGATTTTCAGTGTTCCTTGGTACCTTGAAAATATAAACGTGAAGAGACTAATTTATGATTTATTGTGTAGACTATAACTTATTGCAGCTAGTTAACAATTCAGATTACATAAGCTAGAGATATGCCTGATGACTAGCCTGCTGAAAATTCTCATTTTAGAAGTTATGCCGAATGGTTACGGACAATTATTATGGACAGGGAGCAAAAATTTTTATGTATCAAGATCAAGATGCAGGAAGTTCATTTTAACAGCCTGAGAATCCAGAGTCCTTCTATAATTTTACTTTGGCATTGCATATGCTTCTGTAACATTGTGTATAAAAGGTTTCATCAATACTGAGGGCTTGTCATGTTGCATATCTTTTTTTGCACATAGCTCAGAGTTACTGTTAACTAATTAGGTTTGGGAATTTAGCTTACTATCTTGACATTTTACCAAGTGGAGGTGGTTCCAACTTTGAAAAAAGTTGTGCTGTGATGTTATTAACTGCATGGATAAAATTTTCATCCGTTGTATGTTTAGACATAGAGTTGTTGGTTCGTGTTTTTATCTTTCAATCAAAATTTTTGCGAAATTATGCTATCCAGAATAACACATGGGATGTTGATGTGCATTAACTTAGAAAAGTTTTAGACTAATGAGCTTGTCTACCTATGTTGGTTGCATTAAGTCTTCCATTGTTATATTTATTTTGATTACTGTTTTTCATCAACTTACTGTTTTTATCGTTGATGAATTCTGAATCCTTGAAAAATATGTTCAGCAACATAGTGATTAGCAGTCATCTACTGTCATCTTTGTGGTCTTCCTTGAGTCATTTCTAAACTTAATTAATCTGTAACTGAATGAGCATTTCTTCTTCTTATAGTTGATGAATCTTATTTCCTCCAAAATACATTCATTGTTAATGAGCACGAGGCCTCAACAAGACACCTAGTAAAATTTTCAGTTATCAATTGTTCATCTTTGTGGCCTCTGAGAGTTTCTTTTTTTTTTTTTTTTTTTTTTTTTTTTTATTTCCTCCAAAATACATTCATTGTTAATGAGCCCGAGGCCTGCAACAAGACCACCTAAGTAAAATTTTCAGTTATCCAATTGTTCATCCTTTGGTTGGCCTCTGAGAGTTTCTTTTTTTTTTTTTTTTTTTTTTTTTTTTTTGTGGCTGGTCCTTTCTTTCCCTTCTTTGCCTTGCCTAGATGTTTTTTTTTTTTTTTTTTTTTTTTTTTTTTGTGCATGGTCTTCTTTCCTTCTTGCCTTGCTAGATGGAAATAGGCAGGATAGTATGTTTCTTTCAAGTTATTTAACTATTATTTTATTCATATGATTCATGTTCTTTGATAACTGTGTTTAACTCAATTCTTCAGACGATGTTTTACTGCCAAACTTATTTAAATGAATGGAGATAATGCATTTTTTGGCATGCTGTTGTGTAAAGTTTGATTTCATTTGCTTTATGTTACTACAAATACTTGCTGTGCCTTCTTGAGAGAAGAATTTATATTCTGCAAGAGATTATTGGTTTCCATGATTAAAAAGTTTGTAGCACCCAATATGATGAACATAGATTAATATCTCACTTCTTTTTGTAGTGTTCAAATCTTCCTGCTCTTAATTTTGTTACTTATTGGTGTATCTTGCTTCAGATTACTTATCACTTCTTTCACTGGATGAAAGGAACACCATTCGCTGATGACCAGGGTATCTACAATGGGTTGACTTGGTGGGAGCAAATAGAAAATGGCAAGCAACTGACTCGCAATAGGAAGTTTCTGACTGTTGTACCTGTAGTGCTGTAAGTACTTTGCGTTTCATTATGTAGACCTTTTAATCAGATATCGAAACAAAAAATGTGAAACTGAAATGTATATACATCTTATAAGTTGGTTAGGTACAATAAAGCATTCACAACATTCCATTGAATACTGAAATTACTGGCTTGTGTTGGATAGTATTTGTCCCCCTTACCCTCTCTTGGAGGGGACAAACTCACAAGTCACAACAACCTTCTCTCCCAAAAAGATAAAATGTAAAGAAAGCTTATTTTAGCTGAGACCAAACTTTTCCTCTTGTGATGTGGTTGATATCATGCTGTTCGCGTCATTTTCCTTGTTTTAAGCATTTTGACTCAATTTGCTTGGCAGACAAAGCGTCTCCTAGAAGGCTCATAGCAAAGACATGTCATGATTGTTTCAAAAGTTGATATATCTTTGTCACTGGACAGTGCTTTTCTTTCTCATTATAAGCTGGTCCCTTTTGCTGGCTATTGCCAAAGCACTATTTCTTCTAAGAAAAGTCTCTTAGTAAAATCATGGTACCCCTTCCCGTAGTTCTCAAGGTAGAATTGTTGAAATTGTGTTTCTTTTTTAACTCTAGATGGATTGATGCATCATGCTCTTGCTTTTGTCATGTGACTAATGGTAAAAATTGATTATATGGCTTACTATTTTTTTCCCATTTACATTTTTTGGTGGGAGAAAGCCAGAAATCAAGTGCTTCTGTTGGGTACAGGTTCATTGCATAGATTAGGTTGTTGTTAGGGATTTTTTTTAAAGATGGTATCTTCAACCATCAATGCTTGCAAGTATTCAAAACATTCAACATTTTCAATAGGTGAAGAATCTTTTGCTTACTTTATTTTTCATTTGGCAGGTATTTAATAGCCTCCCATACAACAGACTATCAAAATCCAATGCTCTTCTTCAACACATTGGCGGTGTTCGTATTGGTCGTAGCTAAGTTCCCACACATGCACAAGGTTCGCATATTCGGAATCAATGCCGGTAACTGAACTTCAAAAAAGATCCAATCTTTTGGCATTCTGATATGATGGTATTATCCCTGTACAGATACTGATAACTGTCAAGGGTTAACCATTATTGTTTATTATCAAAGCAAATATCTATACGCCCCTTTATTACATGCTGGGACAAAAAACATTGTTATTATATTTTCTCTTTTACTGGCTTATGTTGCTGGATTGTAGCACTGTGATGTTATGTATTCTTGCTAGAGGCTAGAAAATCTATTTCACTTCTGAATTTATTATTCTCCTTACTTCTGTTATTCCTTTCTAGTCTTAAATACAGTTGGTCTCTGAGCTTCCATGAAGCTTTTGAGTGGAATTGGTTGTTGAATTCATTGGGTTTGGGATACACAATAAAGGGTAGCCATACCCTTCGATTGTGGGGCAATACCCTTTGATTTCCCTGCAATAAACCCATAAGAAAATTGATACTTGTGGAAGCAAAATGTAGGGCAGTCCTGTGCCTTGCTGCAAAAGATGGGAAGCTTATTATTATCTCTCAGAGGTGACTAGATTCCACTAAAGGCTTATAGTATAGGGTCCAAGTAGTTGGAGCATTGTTCTGGCAGTATAAAAGTATGGCCTTTTCTTTTTGGTATAGCAAGTGAAATGCCCTTTCCAGTTACAAGTGCTCTGGGACCATAACTTTGAAACTAACATGATAAAGCACATGCAGACACCTTAACTGGTAATCAATTACTGGTTCAAGCAATCTGACCTAAAAGACATTAAGTTAGCTCAACTCCCATTTCCAATTTAATTAAAACACATCATTTTAATATTTTTCTTTTATTGTTTAGCACAAAAATTGCTATCCACGCTCATTAAGCAATACAATTTTTTTTTCATCAGTAATAAGAGAAAGCAATAGATAGATAATGCAACTTGCACAAACTTCTTGAGTCAGAAAGCATTATCCACTAATGAGCAGGTAAAATATTCACAGCATCTATCAAATGTTTAGTTATTTAGGTTTAGTTAATTAATTATATGTGATAAACAAACTAATTACAATATCTAAAGTAGATTTCTTTTTTGATTAAAGCAATTTAACAAGTATATAAAAGTGGGTTTTTCCTTCTTTACATGTTCCTTTTATATTGATCTTTACCTAAAAATAGATATCTTGGTGAGGAAACTTTGAATTATAGGTTCTAACCTTTGTGATAAAGGAAAAATGATAATGTCAAAATGGAGCAGAGGGAAAAAGCAAGGTTGGATTAATGGTTATTATACATAAATAGAACCTCCAATCTCATAATAGGTACATAAATGAAACAATTTTTGCACAGTAAGTGGGATACAGCAAAGAAACAAAAATGAACTAATTTTTATATAAAAATGAAAGAGTGTAGATCTAGATGGATCAGAGAGTTTAGTGGGGTGAATTATTCTCTAGCACACTAGCCTAGGAGAATGTTTGTGGGTCCCAAAACCAAAGACCAAAGAAAGAAGGGTTTGTCAGATCTTTCTCAAATCTTTAAAATATTTCTTTTTTCTTCACAGTTTTATTTTATTCTTTTGAAAGGAAGAAGAAAGCAATGATCACTCAAGGAAAAATGAGGCAATGTGAGAGAGAGAGAGTTTTGAAAACTGTTTGGATATACAAAGTCAGTAGGTGAAACTTTCAGTTGAGGCAGGTCCAGTGGCTTTAATTTAAGTTTGAAGAGTTCTTTAATTTAAAAGTACTTCAAAGTTTCATTTTTCAGGGATTAGAATTCCTACCTGGCTCATCTCATCTTCTCCAACTCCCCCCACCTGCTTCTTCTTTATCATGCATCATATATATATAAAAGAGTTTTTTAATTTAAAAGTACTTCCAAATTTCCATTTTTTTCAGGGATTAGAATTCGCTACCTGGCTCATCTCATCTTCTCCAACTCCCCCCACCTGCATTTCTTCTTTATGCATGCATCTATATATATATATATATATATATATATATATATGCATTTACTGTCTGCAAGAAGATTCTCACTCTCAAAAAATACCTGTTTACAAATATTTCAAAAATGGAGCCAAAAATTCAAAAAGCAGCATATTTATAAATCTCTTAAATTATATCATATATATATATATATATATATATATATATATATAGTATATAACAATTAAAAGAACAAAGCCTTTCATCCAAATAGAAAAACTTACAAATTTTCACATCAATAGTAAATACATTAGTATTTATATATATATATAACAATTAAAAGAAACAAAGCCTTTCATCCATAGAAAAACTTACAAATTTTCACATCATAGTAATACATTAGTATTATTTTTTTTTTATACCAAGCTAATTAGCCATTAATGACACTTAATTATAGTGGGTAATTAAGCCTTCTGCTAACTAGCTTGCTCTCTCTTCTTTTATAGTTGTAGAAGACATGACATGAAGTAAAAGCCATATATATGTAGAGCATGGCCCCCTCTTCTACTCATTACCCTAAAAAAAATTATGGGCTTAGCTTGATCTCTTCTTCTCCTGCCTCTTCTTCTTCTTCTAGTTCTTGTTCTTCTTCTATTCTTATAAAATAACCCATTTCACCCCTTCTAATGAAGCCAGTCTAATTGAAGCTTCAAAACTCCCACAAGTTTAATTAAAAGCGTAGAGAAGATAATTTGAAATTGAAATTAAAATAACAAAGCAAATTATTATAGAGAGAAACCCATGTATCCTATCTCTGTTAGTAAATGAAGAATCCAAACAAAGTCACCCCACCATAAGTAAAAAGAAATTAATAAATTTTTTTTTTTTTACAAAAATCCAAAAAAGAAAAAGAAAAAGAAAAAGAAAATTAAGACCCACCCAAATTAATTATTTTCGTGATCATCATCATAACCACAATCTGTCTAGCTTATCTCGAATTAATTACCATGATCCTCCTCCTCCACCTAACGTTCCAGTCCAATATCCAGTTGAATCTCCTTGCTCTCTATTATTCTGCTCAATTTCAGTGGTAGTTGAAACTTGCTTTAGATCTTCAAATGGAAACAAAAGCCTTCCACCTGCAGTTTCTTGAACTCCTTGAAGACTACCATATCCACTTCCAAGCCCATCAAGAGAAAAATTCAAGCTTGGCTTAAAATCATGAAGAGGAAACCCAGATGTGTAAACTGAAGAACTTGGATCTTGAACTGGCATAGGCATAAAAGAATTCAAACCCCTTGAAGAAATTCCGGTTAAAAGTTCTAAAGCTGAAAGTTGATGAGATGTAGTAGTAGTAGCTGCTGTATTATTGGACATAGAAGAAGAGATTTGATTCTTGCTGTTGCTTTCATTAATGCTACTAGGCAGTTGAATCAATTCAGTAAAACTTCTTATACCTTGATGAGTAGTTGACGGAAAAGCTAGGTTTAGATCTTGACCTTCATGGCTCTTATTAGGGTTTTGATGAGTAGAAGATTGCGGTGTAACAAGATCAGGAAGTTTCTTTGAAGATATTAATGAAGAAGATGAAGTAGTAGTAGAAGAAGAAGACGACGACGACGATCTTTTATTCTTTCTTGAACCACCGCCAACCGGAATATTTCTTAAAGAACCACCTTCAGTCCAATACCTTCTACAAGTCTTGCAAAAATATCTTGGTTGTGTAAGACTGTAGTTGTTATAGTAACAGAACTTTGTGTTTGTTGAATTGCACCTTGGACAGTTCAAAGCTTGCTCTTTTTGAGGTCTTGCTTTCCTCTCCAAACCTCCTGTAGGCTTTGGACATGTATTTGTGACAATTTCTTCTATTGGTTTCACCACTATCTCCTATAAAAGAGAAAAAGAACTTCAAGATATGATCAAACAATTCAAGATTAAAAGAAAAGAAAATAGACAAACAAATAAAACAATTTTGGCTACTTTTTAACACTTTTCAAACATTTTATCAAGAAGATAAAGGAAAAAGGGAAACAAATATATATAAAGCTAGCTAGCACTCTCTTTTCTTTTTTTTTTTTTTTTTCCCCTCTTTTTTTCTTTATCACTGAAGCTAAAGAGAGAAGACAAAGATAAAGTGATATATGCTGTGAAGAAACTGATAGAAACTAAATCCAAATGAGTGGGGACTTGCACCAGCCATGAACACCAATATACTCATCCTTTTTTGCAAAAAGAAGAGAACCCAATAAACAAGAAACCATATTACAATCTAGGGCTAAATTATTCTCATGAAAAGCCAACAAAAAGAGAGATCGATCAAGAGCCAGGTGGTTGCTATCTATCTACCTGTGGCCACTGAGCAGTATCCATGGATGAATTAACTGAAGATGGATGATGGAGAAATATTATACTGAAAGAAAGAAAGAAAGAAAAAGAAAAAGAAAGACCCTTTCTTTTTTCTTGAAACTGGTTTCAAAAAGCAGGAAGGAATGTTTGGAATGGTTTTTGAGTGGAAGCTGTATGGTAATGGTTGTACCACCTTGCTTTATGGGTTGTGTGCATATGTACACACGAGAGAGAAAGAGCGGCCTATAATAATAATAATAATAATAATAATATTTAATTAATATCTCATCTCAATATTATAATATATGATCCCTAGTTGTTTACATTAGCATTTTAATTTTTATAAGTGGGGAATATTTGTCTGCACCGATATTTAAACAAATAGTCCCATTTTGCACCTTCAAAATATGATTTACCTATATATATTTATGTTGGGTTTGTGTACAGTTACATCCTTTATAATGGTGGCTCTCTTTGCTGACCATAGAACTAGAACTATATATATATATTTTTATTTTTAGGTCAGCAGATCTTTATTCATTTTTGTTATAATGTGTTTTGTTCCTTAATTTAAATTTTAGGTTTAGGACATCCTTCTCTTTTCAATGTCTTTTTCAAACTGCAGTCTTTTGAATATATGTAATTACTTAGTAAATGATATAAATAAAACTGCAATACAAAATATATGTACGCATAATAAATGAAACAAACATGTTTTTGTATACCGTAATAAGTATATACGTGTATGTATATACAGTGGTAAATAAATGTAGACATAATATTCAAGTGAAAAAGCTAGTTGACGAAACTTAATTGTTGATGATCACCATCACAACCACAACTCTACAAACCCTAGCTAGCTATTTATAGCTCTATAACCATTCTGGTAAAACAGGAAAGTTAGGTTAATTTTGTAGCTAAATCGTAAAAATAGCTAGGGTTATAATACGCTATAGCTAGCTACTATTTAACTTGGAAATGCGTCACCCACTATTTTTTTAACCTCTAATTAAAAATTTTTGTTCAAATTTTATCTGAATTCCCGTTAGGGTTATTCTTAATCCTATGCTGACTTAGAATGCTAAGTGAAATCCCTCTTCTCTTTTAGAAAAACAAAATCCCCTTAACGAAGCTAATGTTCAAATCTTGCCCAATGAGATATTTTGACCATTTTGTCCCTTTCTTTTTCTAAAATTTTCATTTAATCAAATTTTACTTTTAAATTCTAGCTCCGACCCTGACTATATATATAGGGTTAAAAAAAAAATCTCAGCGAAGAGGATAATTAATTTTTCATCTTACCCTCTATTTACTCCTAGCCTCTAAGAAGTGTAATTTACATTTTAATAATCAAAAATTCAAAAACGAAAGAAAGAATAAATATGCAAGTAAAGAATATGTAGCTAGGTTTGTTCAAGCTTAAGAATGAAGCTTCTTACAAGTCAAAGGAATCAAATCAGGTTTGATAATTGATATGATTTAGCACTTAGAATCAACATGCCCAAATACAAAACAAATTGTATACTTACACTCTAAGTATTTGCCACATATGTCCACTTCCAATTTTTATTTTCATTTTAAAAATAAAAGAAAAAGTTAGGTTTTTTACTTTTGAAAGACCAATTGCCTTACTTTAGTCTAAAACAAAATATATCTTTATATATAAATAAAAGAAAAAGTTTAGGTTTTTACTTTTGAAAGACCAATTGCCCTTACTTTTAGTCTAAACAAAAATATAATCTTTATATATTAATATATATATATATATATATATATATATATATAAATTTGTTTTTTTATTTATATATTTTCACTTTTTTGATTGAAACATGAAAATCAATCAAACTTTCTTTTTCTCCAAATCCTGAAAAGGAAATGTTAATTATATATATATAAATTTGTTTTTTATTTATATATTTTCACTTTTTTGATTGAAACATGAAATCATCACTTTCTTTTCTCCAAATCCTGAAAAGGAAATGTTATTGCAAGAAAGATGTTATAATGTGGTCGTACGGTCATTTCTGGCAATTTAATAGACTTTCTAACACAACTATGCCTCTCCCTCAACCGCGGAATTAGCGCTTCTTTTTATCTTCCCGGGCTCACGGCCCAAAACATTAAATCTTTAATCGCGTAGATAAAGCTCACACTCGTGTTTATAATTTTAAAAAATAAATTATTAAATATTATATTTTTATCATTTAATGAAATATTAAGAGAAAAATGTATCTACAATCTGTATATGATAAATTAAATTAATTATAAATAGTTTTTTGGTTCTCTATATCTAAAATGCGAATAAAATAATTGATAAAATAATTAATATTTATTAAAATAATTAATTTTGTTTAATTTTGGTTTACAAATACTTAAAACACTTTTTCAATTAAGATAGGAAAAAGAACTAGAGTCTAATTGTCTTGTGTTTAGTCGCATCATTTTCCCTAAGCTTTGAATGATTAAACGGTCGTGATTGGATCAATTTTGTTTTGGTAATGATAAGCTTGATTGATTTAATGGCATCTCCATTAATCAACCGCGGGGGGGCCATGCGGGTATCTCCGTTGAACAAACTCTCATCATGTTCTGGCCCATCAAATTTCATCTCCATACTTCATCAGGTGCCATTGTTTAACACCGTATATATAGACGTGGACAACATCCCATGGCTTGACCAAATCATTCAAAATGTTCTAATTAAGCTCAATCATAGTGCCATAGGCTTTGAGTATGATTATGCTGCCTGTTTCAATTAGAATGTGCTTGGTTATGAGTTTTTGTTTATCCTTTCAGCAGATGATATCTTTCATTAGACTGGACAAAAGAGTAAGTTTTCCGGTAAATTTTTGGCTAAATTTTAACAAAATTATAAATTCTAATAAATTTTCCGGTAAATTCTTAACCACTTGAACCATTCTTTACCGATATTATTTTCAAATATGGAATTGAAACCTCCAATTCCTACCTTTTCTTTTAGGCCGACCATCTATACATTGTTATTATACGGATCTCTATAGGCTTAATTCTAATAAGTTTTCTAGTGACTTTTTAATTGCTGATCGATTTAATTTTCAAATATTAGAATTAGAATAAATTCAAATTCTCTTAATTCCTGCCTATTTTTAAGGCCATCTATACTAATTTTCAAGATGCGGATCTCGATAGGGCCTAGGGCTACCGTGGCCCTAAGAAATTTTAAAAAAATTAATGCAAATATATTTTGATACTCTAAGATATAAATAAAAATATACTTTAGCTGCTTAAAAGTTTAAAAATTTTCATTTGACTGCCCAAAACGTAGCTCGCCTCTGGTTACTACCCTGTATACGAGGTATCAGGTGACCTTATACAGCTACAAAAATTATTGTAGAACTACCAGTATTGTACCAAATGGTAGACAGTAAGAGTGGCGGCGAATGGAAGCCGTCAGATGTGGGGTATCTTCTTTGATAAGGACCCACCTAGGAAAAGAAACACGACAGGCTAAGATGAAGACACGTGTTACGGATGTTGACCCTACAAGAGTTAAAAATGAGTGAGTATTTTGTGTTTAAAAGCGAGTGGGCGGTGGTGGTGGTGGGGCCCTACACATGCGCATGCGAAATTTCTATTTCCATTTCAAAATTGAAAATTCCTAATCCTACCACACCAAGTAAAGAGAATCTAACCGTTGCCGTTTGTTCCAAATAAAATTCCTAATCAGAGGCCTTCCATTCTTCGATGATGTCAACGTGATTGGCTTCCCTTCCCCTATTGACGTGGACCGCATGTGCCTAGTGCATTCCACGTCAGCACTAAAAGACATTATTATGAGCTAATTGCTAAATGCTAAAATGGTCAAAGTAGATTCATCCAATTGTTACTGCGGTTACGGGGGATTTTTAAATGGGGCCTACCAAATCTCTGATCACTTGTCCATTGTTAAAAGGTCTGTGTATTATATCAGTATTTATTATTAATTATTCCTGTAATTTGTACTTAGTAATATTAATTAGTTTGTCTGAGTTCAAAAATTGCGACATGTGATTTTTAATTTTATATAATAGTGTCTGTTTGTGAGAGTTTTTGAACTGTTTTAATAATTGTTATCAGATAACAGCGGTTAATTTCTATAGTAGCAGTTAACTAGTAGCTTTTAACTAATAACTATTTATCTGAATTTAAATTAAATAATTTTTTATTTTAAAATAATAAAAAATGATATTAGCTGTTTAATTATAAGGATTTGTAAGAGAAAAACAATAAATGTGATTACCAAAAAAGACACTAGCTGTTTAATTATCTTATGGTATAGATAATGATACTCCTGGTACGAGTGCACATGTTAAGCATTGGCTTGGTTTGAGCATAAACAATGGGCCAAACGCGCCTTCATAAAATTGCGGCGTCCACCAAGCAGTCCAAGCCGAGGTATTAACCTGACCTCTTTCTATTGGGCTCAAACTAGACCCAACTAAGTCTAAAACCAAACGGATCCTGATATGCGTAAACACTCAAGACTCAAATGAATAATAGCCCATAAGTAAAATCTTTCATCGGCCTCAGTATAGGCCCATATTGGTAATTCATTAAATATAAAAACCAAAAAAAAAAAATTATATTTTGGAAAAGGTCAACGCGTGGCACAGACCATCGACCAACGAGAAAAGACAATTCAAAAGGAACCAGCCAAATGTAATCAACAGTCCAATGGCTAAATAACCCTAATTCCACAAAACATAATTAAAAGGAAGAAATACTGTTTTTGGACATTCAAATTCATGTTCAACGGTCAACAGTCAACTTTGATCAATATCCTCCCCCTCAAATCAGCAATCTTCTCCTTGTAGCCACTCGCACTATACGTATAATGATATAGTAAGCATGGGAGATGTACGTATATTTGATCGGCAATACATACATAAATTCTTACAGGAAAATTTAATTTGTTCAGTATAGTTCTTGTTTGGTAGGTGGTTGGTTACACTTGCAACTGTTATGAGTTATTTATCTCTTAAAAATTAAAATAGCAAGATGAGTGTAGATGATCCAATTGAAGGCAAAGATGGATAAGATAAATATGAAGTAGAGAATAATTAATTAATTTATATATATATGGGCTCCATCTCTACGTATTTTGATCTAATTAATATTATTCCGGGATAGATGTTTGAGTCATTTGACGGACCAAATAAATATTGAAGCGTGGTTGGTGACCTT